AGAAGCTGGGGACTTAATGGTCAAATTGAAAAGCCGGGAGGGCTCAGGTTGAGAAGCTGGGGGATCACTGGTCAATCAACAGTTTGAGTTGAAAAACTGGCAGGGCTCAGGTTGAGAAGCTGGGCAATCACAGGTTGAATTGAAAAGCTGGCAGGGCTCAGGCTGAGAAGTTGAGTTGAAAAACTGGCAGGCTTTAGCCGAGAAGCTGGGGGGAAAAAATCCCCCTTAACAGCCACCCAGTTTTGTAACGAACCAAAGTTTAACCCCTTTTGTAAAACCGCATTAAACGGCAGAATACGAGTTTCAGCAGTCCAAATACGATGTCGTGCCAAGAATTCCCTTCTCCCAAATGGTGGTAGCGGTAAAAGCATTCTATTACAGAACATGATACTTGACATCTACCGAGGGTGCTTTCAGAGGGTGTTTATATTCAGCGCCTGTATCCATGTTGATAGCGTCTGGCACCCCGTCAAGGATTACGTAGAGAAGGCCTTGAAGGTTGATACAAAGAAGGAGAAGACGTACTTTGATGAGTTCCACAAGGAAGACTTGGAGGCTATTTTGGAACAGCAGTAGAAAATCAGTCAGTGCCAAAAAGACCACATGTTCAAAAAACTCTTTGCCACGCTGGTGGTCGATGACTTCGTAGATCAAGTCTCCTTTTCAAAGCGTAATAGGATGCTTAACGCTCTTTGCATTCGGGTTCGCCACTTTGGCGTGAATGTCGTTAGATCATCCCAAAAGTTCAATTCCCTATCAACCATCATCAGGGTCAATAGCAGACAGTTGTATTTTTCAAGACGAGAAACTACAAAGAGATACAATACCATGGTGGAGGAGTTGTTAGCGCTCCTGATTAAACGGAACTTCATAATGGATGACAAGAACACCCACAACGCTAAGAACACGCTGTCAGAAATCTACGAGAAGGCGACGGAGGAGAGGTTCAGTTTCCTGTTCGTAAAGCTGACGGAGAGCGACATTAACGAGGTCTTGACAAAAAGATACAGGTTAAATCTTGTTGATGATATCTTCAAATATTGTAATATCGTCAATCCTAAACCAATGAGTAAGAACACAGATTGACAGCAGGAAGTGTATACATAACCCGGTCGCTCTTCTTGTCTCCAAGTTGTCCTATTCTTTCTGCAATTTGCTTGATTGCTTTGAGTTGTTAGGTTGGCAATGATTGATAAACCCAGTTCATCTTCATTGATTGAATTTTTTATGGAGTTATTATTATCGCCACACTTTGAACTTCTACTACCCATGGTTTATATTAATCTATATTATCTAGTTTTTGGTGTTGGACGGTTGTTTTTTGCTCTCGTTTTGTTATTTCAATTCTTTGAATTCTTCTTCCATTTTTCCATCTTATCCATCATCTCTTGATGACTTTTCCACAAGATGGCGCGTATACGACCATAGTTTATGTTCATATATTCGTTATCTTCGTTGATTACATGTTCAAACTCTTCGGGTAGAACTTCTTTGACATTCTGCGCTACAAAACCTATATTTTGCCTCTTCTTCTTATCGTTCTTCATGTAGTATTGCTTAACCTTTACCTACAATCAGAATGGACAGCATCAATGTCCTCCTTTAACCTTTCATCGGATGTTTCAGTAATTGCTGCGAAAGTAATGTTGTATTCAGAGTTAATGTCAACATGCAGTCTGTTCCATTGTATCTGAATGAACATCGTTGGGTTCAAGACTAGCGTGACTGTCAAAAATATGTGCTTTCATCAAATTACACTGATTGAATTTGGCAGTATTATGCTGACATCGCAATCATCCTGAAATTGCCAGAAGGATAGGTTACATCATCCTTATCATAAAACGCACAGGCTGAGCCGTTCTGTTGAAGCGACGTGTTAAAATCACCATTCGTGTTCTAGGTGTTACATCTTATCGGTTGCCTCACTTCGACAAGGGTAGGATAAACCAACAAGACATTAGCGTCTGCCCCTGCCCCTAAAATTGTAAGAGGACTATTTACAGTAGCATCATGCCAAGTTCTCAATACAGTAGATGTATTTTCAATCCCTTCGTATATTCTACTGGTTCCATGGCCTCTTGTAAAATATACCGTTCTGGGTATATGGATATGTCCTGATTTATTTCTAATCCTCAATACATTCAGTGCCCCTTCAACTCCTTCAAAAAACCGACTTTCACCTCTATTGTTTTTTGGTTGTAGCATTTTATTCACTACAAATCTTTCAGGTGATGCTTGAAACTGTAAATAGTCACTGCCGTTTCTTGAAAGTGGAAACTTGGTCTTGGTCAAACTACCTATGGTGTCTGTTTTAAAGACCGTTTTCAATGTGTAGTTCCTGTTTCATTTCATGGGTTGATTTGGTTTAATCATATCTCATAAATTCTGTGGCGGCGTGCATCCAAGTAGTGTCCGCTGTAATGTTTATGGCGTAATACTGATTTGCGTTTATTGCGTTTGCTGTTAAACCCGCCGTATTAGCACCAGTCGCGTTCACAACTGAATTAATTGTCGCGTTGCCAGTGAAGACGGGATTTGCTTTGTCTGCTTTTCAGTCCTAACGATGTGTTTATTTGAGAATGAGTATACATCGGCGCTGTTCGCTTTTAAACCAGATGCTGTGTCCGTTTCTGTTTTGGTATATGTTGTTGATTGGTTCGCTTTGCTATTTAATAATGTGTCAGTTTCAAGATTTGTATACCCCGTCCGTTCACTGCCTCCTCGGTGCCTCTTTTTACATTTCCTCCATTAAGAGATAAAAAGGACGTTTTAGTATTGTTACAAACATATTTCTACACAAGCTGTTATACTTCTCCTGTTTCTGCTTGATGAACTCGTTTTGTATCATCTGGTAGTATAGGGCGAGTTGATTGAGGGGATTAGACGACATAGTCGTTTTCTGTGTCGCTTGACGCTGGGGTTTTGAGACCGCCTCTTCATCATTCGCGACGAGGACGACCTTTTTTGCCGTTGGTTTGGGGTTCGCTTCTTTCTTGACAGGTCTGTCGGTGAGTTGTCCCTTACAGTTTCCCTCGCGAGAATACCTGAACGATTGAAGCCGCCATTGCAAGAACTCCGACCAAAAACGGCAGGACAATCAGATACGATGAGAATGTCAAATCGGTCACTTGCTTGAACCCCAAAAAAGCAAACATACTCCTTGATTGAATGGGTCGTGCGTGTCTCACGCTGAAACCAATGCCAACCACCGACACCCCGCTCGGATAAGCGCACCTCCTCATTGGAGGTGGTTGATGAATGACAACTTCGTCTGGGTCTCCAAACCTCCACGCCGCCTGCGGTGAGGTCGGTGTTGTGGTTTCGGGTATGGTGTGTTGCGTGGTGTGTGTGTACCCCTTGGAATCACAGGGATCCTTTTGGATTGTTCTCGCTTTTGGAGTTTTCGACTTTTTCAGCAGGGGGCCCATGGGCACATGGATGGCATGGGCCAACGAAGACCCATCCATGTTGCCGTGAAAGCGTACCTGCTTGGTGCACCTGGGCGCATTATAAGACGCAGCTGGTGGCCACTCTTCTTCCTTTTGTAAAGTGCTAATGAGCTCTGCAGACTTGCGCGCTACGACGTCACCCTGTCGCTTCGTCGTCGACTTGAGACTTTGGCCTCCGTTCCTCTTGAAGACCTCCAGGCTCTGTTGGTCCTTATTGGTACTCTTAGGAAATGGAACCCTAGGCCGGCGTGTGGCACCGCTTTCAGTTCCGTACACATATCTTACGTATCTTAATAATGTCGTGGATGTATGTATGTATGTATGCACGTACGTACGTATGTATGTATGTATGTGGTATGTTGTTAGGATTATATGTATGAGTTTGTGTGAATTGTTAGGCAGTTCTTAAATGGGTCCATAACATACGGGGGACCCCATAGGACGAACCGCGTCGTTGCCCCTGTCTACTCCCAGGTGCGGGAGGCAGGACCTGACCAACTGCGATGGCTCCGTTACATTGCATATCTGGATCCATCAAGGGGCTTTTTGTTTTCACCCATGTGGGACTGGGGCCGCCCAAGAGCAAAGAGGCCCAGAAGCGGGAAAAAATTTGGGCGTGCTTCGAGGAAGACCCAGAAACCTGCAGAGGCTGGTGAAGTTGTCAGATACAACGCTTTTGAGCTTTGGAGGCTTGCCAAAGCACAAGTAAAGCTGAAACGCAGCTGTGAAAAAGCATTTTGTTCAGCCGAGCTTGGTTGTAAAGCTGCTGGGGATCAGGATGGTGAGGAGGAGCTTCAGAAGATGGAGGGAACCGTGGTTTTCCATCAAGTTCCCACCACCGGCGCTGTGAATCTTCATTGGGCTGAGAGACAGTTTGTACGTCAATGTACGTGATCTGCTTGGTGGTAGGCGATAGCTTTCATTTGTGGAAAGATGGGGAACTCAGCCAACTGGAGCTCAGGAACCTGCCAACCCTCCTCCTCAGCCAGTCAGCCTGTCAGCCGCCAAAAGGCCGACGAATTCGGTTTGCGCCAAGTGAAGGCAGTGGAGACCAAGGGTCAAGATTGAGAAAAGGTCAGTTCAACAAAGAAGCAAGGGCGTGAACAGTTTCAGCAAGATTCTGGCTGGTGGCAATATTGCCAGCTAGCCGCTAGCAGAGCTTGAGCCCTCGGGTGAATTTATGATGGAGTGAGCTTGGCTTGGTGCACATCCAGCCATTGATGCAGAAAAAGTCTTGGGCTCATGTAAGACTGTTTCTGACATTACTTTAAGGATCTTCAAGGCATTTCTTATACTTTTTGGTCAGGGTCTCATAGGAGAACAGGTTGTTGGAATAACCCTCTGCGAGAAGAAACCCTTCACCAATGTCATTGACTCAAGTCCTCCAGGACTTGCCGTACCCAGCACCTGTTGATGAACCCGTTCTGCCTGAGACGGCTGCCATGCACTTCGAAGGTGGTGAGGAGCACTGTGTTCCACCCGTTCGGTCCACGACATGAATGGAAACAGGTAATTATACGTTCCAATGTTCAGTTTCCCTAAAAATCTAGAAACCAAATCATTAGTGCGAGCGTGAGCCATCCTGCGTCCGAAGTAGTAGTCTGGTGCCTGCTTGTAGGTAGTAGCTAACTCTTCTACTAGCTACCGACTCACCTCTATGGCCTACCCCCCGCCCAGGCTTAAACAAATATATGTATACATATATATAGTTATGTGTAGTATATGAAAATAGAATGTTTAAAACGGTTGCAGGGAAAAAAACAAGAAATCATGAAGGGACTGATCTTGGAATTCAGCCAGGAGGCTGCTCTTGCGAGGCTTCAGTATTACTTGCGCCTCGGCGATGGTTTCAAAGGACTGCCCTGCTTGCAGATTTCCAGCCAACGATTTTGGACCCCAAAATCCACCAGAGCTAGAACTGACACCAGTTCCATTCAGCAAGGAGAACAGGTAATAATATACATATGTATATAGGGTTTCAATAATAATCTGATCCAGCTGTTCATCACTTTCAAGTTTCTGTGTTCTCTTCAATGGGACATGAGAAGCCAACCAGGTTTGAGACAAACGCAGTCGCCAAGTACTTTGACACGCGCAACGGCATGCTGGGTCCAGACTCTTGCCTGCAATTGTTCTTTTCAGCACCAAGACGTCAAACTTTGATGGTAACCTTGGAGTTACATAAGATCAGGAGGTTGGACACCTGTTGTCGCCTCTATTCCTCGTTACCCAAGGACTACTCCACGAAATTGGCTCCGTGGTTAGCATTCGGTTGCTTGTCCCCGCGAAAGATCTTCGAGCAGATCCGCGAATATGAGAAGGAGATTGTGGTAGCTCGCTCTATCTTGAAAGTTTGTGGATAGTGGGCCTTTCTGATCACTAGCAAAGATCTTCGCTGTTTTTTCCTGCTTTGGGGATACCCTCAAAAGCCTCTAGGTTCGCGGAGAAATATGGTAACCCAATCAACAAGCTACACATGCGGAACGTTTCCGGCAAGTGTTCCTCATGGTGATCCCCACAAAGAAATCGATGCCTGAGGCAAACAAGTCCACGTATTGGGTGCTTTTTGAGCTGTGCCTTGGATGAAAGTAAGTGGTTACCGATGCGAAACATGTGCAACCATCCATCAGAGAAATACAGTGCCGGGCTGTTGCACATGTATTTCTCTGCTGTTGCTTCCACATTCTTCATGCCGTCGCTTCCACTGAATTCACGGGTTTCCCAGACGGGACTTCTACTGCCGCTGCCGTTTCACCCCCGCTCGGCCGTTAGCAGCACCGCTCGAGGATGTGGCGCGACTTCTACCGCTTCTTTGCCGCAAAGCACGGCCGCTCGGTGGATTTGGGGCGTGAAATGGATGGCAGGAAGCATCTGGTTGCGAAAGGCGGAACCGCTTGGTGAAACAAGTTGGGGGGGGCACTTGTTGGCCTCTTGGACACCTGCCAAGGGCGGTGCCGGTTTTGTCCAAAGATCCAATGGCACGACAATTTGAGGAGAATTCGTTGACTTGGGTAGCAGGAGACTGGTGGTAGACCGCCCAAATTTTGCTGTTGTAGGGTATCCACATGGATACGATAGGCGGCAAGAAAGCAACTCGCATTCTTTATGTGACACCAAGACATTTCTGCTTGAGGCAATCAAATCTTCAAGTTGCATGGCATCTCTGGAAAAGGAGCATCTCGTCAACCACCATCAGCTTTGCTGTGACCATGCTGAAGCTGATAACACCTAAGTAGTCTTCGCTGATGACACTTAAGTAGTCTTCGCTGCACGCGAGCACGTCACGACGAGCACAACATGGTGAACATGCACACAGCTCTCCTAGGATTGGAAGCCAGATCAAGAACTCTTCCGGCTTTGGGCTGAAGGAAAAACCGGATACCCTCTGGTGGATGCGAACATGCGAGAGCTTAGTGCCTCAGCGTGACGATCACCTTTCTACCACACCGACTTGTGGTCGTCCCCCTACTAGCGATAGCCTCCAACCTAATAGTGATGGCTTTTTCTGCCTCGCAAAATGTGTGAACTGTTTCTAATAGCTTCTTGTTACTAGTAGTAAGGCCAGGAGCCCCTAGTAGCATCCTTGCTCCTAGTAGCGATGCCAGGAGCCCCTAGTAGCGTCCTTGCTCCTAGCGATGCCCTTGGCCTAGCTCCCCATGGAAATCCATACTTCGAAGTTGAAGCAACGGTGCTGGGCCGAGGTGCCACTGGCTTCATGTCCAACCGAGGGCGTCAGAACGTGGCCTCGTTCCTGGCGCTGGATATGAAATTGGAGCCGTGATTGAGAGAGAGAGAGAGAGGATACATGGGAACCACCGGGAGAGGAAACTCCCCGCAGTCTCTCCACTAGCTTTTTTTGTTTATTTTGCACATGAACTGGTGGAAAAAGAACCGTTTTTTGAACCATAGTGGTGGATTTCCATCCCGCTTCCAGTGTGGGTGGATAGACACATATATAATTAATATGATACATGTTCCTGTCATTCTCTTTCGAGAGTAAACCCTTCTCTTTCATCACTTCTGCAAGTGCCCATTGTAAAGTTAAGTGCTGCCTGTTTATGCTTGCAACCAGAGAGCAAGTTACTTCTGGTCATCGAGGATTGGCGCCAGGGTGCTGATTGGTTTGAAAGCTTTCTCGTGGATTATGACGTGGCCTCCAACTGGGGTACCTGGCCCGATCTGGCAACAACGCAATGCATACAATGGTGGAAATGGTTGACTTGCATGGAAATCACCCAGCTGATGCAGTGACTTAAGACTAACTTAAGACCTAAGTCATTCACTTAGGCAATTGGGTTCATGCTGCAGGGCTCACTACGGGCCGATTGAACCGTTTCAATGTGGCCTGGCACAAGATCGGGGAAGGCAATGGTTCATGCTTCATTCCACGTAGGGTGCAATTTGATGGTTCACGCGTCTGAAGGTTGGTGTTCACAGATATGTTCAGACTCAGAATTGGCATTTAGACTGTTGCGTGCCTTGCTGAAGACAACCCAACGCCTGAAGAATTGCTGAGCCAAGATGCGGTAAGTTAGCTGTTCTGTGACTGCTCGGGTTGTCGGTAAGTGCTCCAGGTTGTCCGCCAGTCGAAGATGTACGACAAGGACACCCAAAGAGCGAAGGTGAAAGCTGGTGAGTGTTGAATTCCTAGCAGGCATGAACCTAGCTGGGTGTATATCCCCAAATCCACCGAAATGTATCTTCATACCTTCCAGATGACGCCTCCGGCGACCAGTGTGGCGTGGTGTGGGGTGAAGACTCCTGGTCGCCTTGACCGTGAGGATGGCGCCTACTTGAGACATTGGCTCCCCGAGCTCCGTCGCTTGGAATCAAGAGGACGTGAGGTGAGGAAGTGGGGACTGCTTCTGAAACGATGGAAAGGGGTACTGCTTCTGTGGGGATACGGCGAAGGACTCCAATGCATTTAAACCCAAACTATTCAACTGTGTCAAAGATTGGCCCTTTTTTGGGACTATTGTTGAGAAGCCTGCCTTCATTTCATATACTATGGAGCCGGCCGGCGAGTGTGATTCACCACCCGCGTTGGATGCACTCAACAAGTTTGCGTGACAAACGCATCCTTCCCTTTCAGATCAGTAAGATAAATCTATGCTTCGTAGAAGGAAGAATCATGTTGTAGTCTGTCCTTGAAGTGTGGCACGCACAGCAAGCTCAGGAAGGGTGCCAGTGCGCTTCATCCATGAGCCGTGGACCATGTCGCCAGATGACACTCCGTGAACATATTCTTTTGCGATTCAGCTGTCAGAAGAATTCCTGCGAAGATCTGTGTACCAGCGAGCATGTGAGCTGGACAAGCCGCAAAGGCAACCAAATTTCCGTGAACGGAGTTCATTCCTTTTTCTGATGCGACCTTCTGACTCAGGAGAAGGTGAAATTTGGTGCTGAGAGCAACTGGGCAACGGTTTGTCGCGCAATGAACGCACGGCCGGCACGACATCCACACAATCCGATTGCGGAAGCCAATGTGTGAAAGCAGCGGTAGACAACGTGACAACGGGGTCTTCAATTTGTGATGCGCCCACAGAGTTGGACACATGTTTCGAACTGTGAGACTCTCTCAGCTGCGAGTGTTTGCAACACACAGAGTTTGATTCACGTGTGTTTGCCTCCAACCTAATAGCAATCCTTTGTGGTACTTCGTATCCATCCTTTTCCTGAGGCTACCCTCCTCCGTGCCTGGACCCTTCGAAGTTCCGTGATGATGCTTCGTCACGGCCCCGCAAGAAGAACCGTGGCCGGGGTCGATAAGGGACCCGCCCTTGGGTGTTTGCCGATATTCTTGGAATTTTCGCCCAAATGGCCAAAATGGCCTGGAGGCCCAGCATGGCTGCCTGGCTGATTCGATTGTACAGTCGACGATGCTTCAAATTTGTGCCCGTGTCAAACGCAGCGCTTGGAAGTGCCTGAGGACATCAGTTTGAACAAGCAAGGTTGACATGCCCATGTCGTATAGTATCAGATTTGCATGCTTCCATTTGTCTCGGGCCACTGCCAACTTGGAGGTGAGATTTCCTCTTTTTGCATTGCAGCAATACGCAATACATGACAAGGCATATCGTCACCTCCATGGATTTTCGTTTCCAGAGCACCAAAAACGAGACCGAGGGCAAATGCAACAGGCACATGGCATGCTCAGACCCAGAACAGGTCTTGTACTTTCTTGTTTCAAGTGTTTTGTGTGCTTGTTTTTGCGAATTCCCTGGCCAGCAGAAAGACCTAGTTGCAGACAATGATTATTGGGTCATCAATCCATGCTCCGTGGCTAATTCTTGGATTTTCCTTTTGTTGGTGCGCCGGTCTAACATGCCTCAAGTGAAAAGAATGTGATATATATCTCAGCGGATTGTTGTGGTGGTTGACCTAAACGTCTCAATTTGGGTCACACTAGCGTATGCTTTTGAGATACACACATTCTTCAGCTGGCAGGTGGCCTTTCTCTCTGGTCGCCTAAAGGCGGAGCTCTTTGATGAGCCAGATGAGGAGCATCGTGGATACGATTTGCAAAGAGTAGCCCAACAGAAATTCTCCATCTGTTCTGGATTCAACACCTTTGTGGCTTGGGCGATGTATGCTTTCAATACAGCCACCTAGCCTACCAAGTACTTGATCAAGATGAGAATTTGAGGCAAGCTTTCCACCTTCCCTTACAGTCCACTGTCCAGCGATGTTCTTGGTTCTCGACTTCTGTCCCGCCACATCAAGTCAGGAGCTGGAGGCTGCAGAAGGCAGTCAGAACTGATCAATGGGTCAGAACAGAGCCATTCAGAGTGCCCTGGGCCCTTTGTACCTAGTGTAAACCTTTCCAAAGAAGCTTCACTGCTTCTTGTTGAGCGTTTTTCGTGTTGTCGGCCTCTGGAATGAGGCGAAGGGGGAAACAAGCTTCTTAAAGCAAAACACAGACCACTGCTTTCACACCTCTTAGGCTCTTAGGTTCGATTTGCAAACCGGTGACTCGTCTTTTTGGGATCCGGTTTCAATGTCTCCCTGTTTTCAGCACACACTGCAGGCGCCGCAGCTCCAGATGAGATAAAGTCCAAGTATGCCGCCCAGGCGGTTGTTGAGCTTTGTAAAGCTTTTATCTTTCAGAAACTTAACCATTTGAACTGAAGCACGCAATGTTCCACCTGCAGCAGTTCTGGGGCCTCACCTTCAGACATGTTCTTTTCCACAGCTGCAGACACGTGTAGGCACATGGTTTTAGCCAAGATGTACACACACAAGTTAAACCAAGCGTGAAGCGTTCATGTGTGCTCGGGCTCAAGATTGGACGCCCCCCTTGAGTGACTGGAGGGCCAGCCATGCCAGCGGCCCGCGGGCGAGTTGGCCGCAAGCCACTCACCAAATACCAAGGATGGCCCAAAGGCATCTACCCCATGAGTGACGGCTGGGTGCCACCCTGCTATCCAAAAGAGGAAGAGCTTATAGAGTATGAGAACCGTATGAATGCCAGGAAAAAGGCAACCTTAGTCAAGCGGCACCTGTGCATCAAGGAGCCACAGCTGCAACAGCTTTCCAAGACGGAATTCGCCCAGAAGAGTGAGTACTCGATGCTCGCCTACGGCATTGGTGAGGGTGAGTATTCCGGGGAAGGCGATGACCGCAGCTACTTTGTCATCCTCTACTACGAAGCCGCCAAGAAGAGCAAGGTGGAGAGGGCCTTCAAGTCTACAGGCGTGGAGCTTGCAGACTATGAGCAGGTGGTCGTAGATCCCGATTCCAAGATGGAGCAAGAGGAGAAATTCATGTATGCCCACGGGGCTGGGAATGCCGGTGAGTGCATCGTCGGCGAGTACGAGTATCACGTGGTTCCAAAGGGCAGCCCTGACTATGATGACCCCTGGGGGCCAACTCATCCCGAAGGCAGATTCTGGGAATGAATGCCCTCAAGTGGCACTCTGAAATGATCAAAATGCAAGGCGAATGGCAAGGAAAAAAGAGGCCTCGCATAGACCCAAATGGGTTGAGATCGGACATTCTCAGATCGCCAGAACCGTTCAGTGGTCTATTTGACAGATGCGAACATCGCTCTTCCGCGCGTTTGTGCAAGAAAAAAGGGTTTCGGCCTCTCTCTGTCGCTCGTGACACTGTGAGGAAATGTTGCAATTCTCCATCACAACGAAGAAAGGGACTCAGGAGGGTGCCCATGCTCCTGACTCAGGAGGGTGACCGCGGGCTCTTCGCCGGTGCCCCCATGCCACTGAATGAGGAAGCCAGGCCAGGCCTGGAAAAGCAGACTCTTGAAGATCTCTTTCTCATGAGACAGGGAGGGTCAAACTGACAGCAGTGAAGTCAATTGTCGCAGCAATATGCAGGAACACTGAGAGTTTGCAAATTTTGTTAGCTTTTTCCTTCATTTCTTTTTCTGTGGCAAACCAAACGCATCCCAGGGTCTCCTCTGCGCCAACGGGTCCGTCTTGGGAAGAGCTCAAGGCAGGTGACCAAGACTGGATGAATTCCTCAGACCTATCCAAAATAAGTCTGCATCATAATTCTAAGAATGCAGGACATGCATAACATAATTTTAGCTTCTCTTGCATCCGTTCAAGAACGTCAACCCTGCAGAAGCTTCTCTCTCCTATTGCATTCTGAATGGCATACTGCAAGTTTGGGTTCTCTTGCAAATGTTCCAAAAGCGCCATGCCACCCACAAACATGTTTCTGCTGGAGGCCAAGGAGAAGAAGAAAGAGTTTATGCAATCACAGCTGTCACTTGAACTGCGCTTGGTCTAAAGAGATGATCATTGCATTGTTGCGTCTAGGATCATCCTGGAGAGGTTTGCATTGAGATGGCAGGATTTTTCTGTACTGTCTTCACTTGATGGTTCAACCATCTTTTCTTGCTTCCTCTACTTTACGAAGTACTCTTGAATGGAATCATGTCAAATTTATAGACTTTTTTTGAGAGGGGAAGGTCCACCTTCTATGAAACGCGTGTAGGTGATGTTTTTCAGCTCCCAGGTTCATCGATGGTTGCTACACTCCCCTGGCCATTGACCGGCTCTGTGAAGAGATCGCGGACAGTGGAGGTGAGGTCCCCCATTGGAAGTGAGCAAATGGAGGAGTCAAAGAGATGACATGAATCCTTTGAAACAGGAAGCTCTCTCTCTCTCTATATATATGATATAACAAACCAATTTGTCGGAGCTCTTCATACAATTTGTGTTTAACATGTTGAGAGCCAGATGCTTGTGAGAATCGAGTGAAGACTGGGGCCACTCTGCAGAACATGAAGCAAGTCACCAAGTCTGTTTGTGAAGCATCTTCGTGAGACCATAGTTTTCATCCTTTGGTGCCACTTGGATGTTGTGTGATGCTGAAGCCTGCCAGAGGAAGATAGATTGCTCTCCGACCATCACGTGACAGGTGTAGATCTACTCTTGACTTCAGAATGGCCAAAGGCTCGATTGAAATGACCAACTGTACCACCTTTCTCCTTCAAACAACCTTGCATTTTGACGCCGCGGCCAGTAGTGGAGACCTTGGCATGATTCTGTTGACCACTTCAAGGCATGCAGCCTAAACTGTTGGCCGCGGAGAAGGATTTTGTTAGTTCAGACCGGCTGCCGGAAAGGGGACCTCTTGGGGGCTGCTGGGTGACCAAAAAGAGGCAGCTCCCGGATTGCACTTTCTAGGTGCACCTCATTGTAAAATGCCGATATCGGCTCAGTCACATTGCGATAGGGCGTGATGACCACCTTAAAGGAAGCCTGGCCAGAAGAGGCGGGGAGGGTCATAGAACAGCCAGGACACCACAAAGGACTGGCGCCACGGGGCGGCAACCCTTTGGTTGTGTGGTTGTGTTCGATCTCCAGAGTCCTGACGCACCCCGACCAGACAGGTGAGACTAGATAAGGGTGCATAGCTGGAACATTCAATCCCAGCATGAATTGGCCAAGATTGGTTCTTCAATGACGCAAGGCACATGTCTTGCCTAATAACACATGGCCACTTTCGTGTTCTTGTGATTTGATGCTGTCAAGACATTTGCGCTCAGGGCAGTATTTTCTTGATGATTCTTGTCACGCTGACAATCACATCAGTTCTGCAATGCTTCCGCAATAATTTTGAGACAACTCTTGGAAGGTTCTTCTCTTCCCCTGTCCTGGCCAAAGAAGAATAGATGCTGCCCAACAGTTTTGATGTTCCCCAGGCAGACGTCAGAAAGCTTGCAAAAGGCGTGCCTGAAAGGGAAGACCGGTCCATAGTCCGTCCAGTCGCGGTTGGTCTCCAAGTCATTCTCGGCCTTGTTTTTCTCTCTCTGGAGGTGGTCCACAGGCGCTGCTCGGTTGTTTGGGTCTGAATCCCGCTTCCAGGCGCTGCTCGGCAGTGCTCCAGCCCAGCAGTGGCGGAGCTGGCCGTGGCCGCCGAGCCGAAGTACCACGCGGCCGGGGCCGGAGCCGAACCGGCGCGACCGTCGAGCCGTTTTCGGGAGTGATGTGCTGGATGAGAGAGAGTAGCATACAGATGTGATGGAGGTGCCAATGGGCAATCTCAGCAAGCTGTATCTCAAGTTAGCTTCCAGTTGTTGGATACTGGGTTTTTGCGTAACTGGTCAGTTGGGGGGTCAAACCTGGTTGGTGAGGAGTAGGATGTAAACAGCCAGGTTGGCCTGGGTGGAGTCTTCTGGCGGCGTCAGCCTTGGCGCCACGAGCGTCGTGGTGAGGTTGGGTGTGATATAGCACTTGATTCAGGAATGTGAGATGCAACTGCTGCCAAGAAGATAGTTGTGTGTTACGTGCATTTCTTTCAAGCACTTGAACTATTTTGAACTCACATTCATGCTTGAGTTTGTCGGCAGGTTGAAGCCTCGACTGGGGTGCTGAAGTGTGGCGTTTGCCGCATGATTACACTAGGCGCATGCTGGGAGGTAGATGGCAACTTTGGTTTTGGACATGACTTTTTCAGTTGCTCTTTTCAGTTGTTTGTTTCTGGTTTGATAGATTTCCTGTGGGCATTTGGACTGTTCAGGTGCTGTGGATGGTAGCAGACCGGGTGTCAAAGATATGCCCACTGCGAAGTACAGCCATCGCCTCAGACACTTGAGCGAGGTTGCAGCAACTTGAATCAGGTGATCATTTGAGAACGATCCTTGCAGGTAGCATTGAAGAGGAGTGCTTTTAGAAAATCTTCAACATGGCACTGCTTTGCTCTGGGAACGATTTAAAGGGCATGACACCTTGCGTGCAGGTTACAAGAAGCCGGAGGACACCTGCTTGGAGATACTCCTTGGATCTTGTGTTATGGGAATCACCTTGAACTCCTTGCAACTACTTGGTAAGATCACATCTTTTGCGTTCTCCTTTCATTCTTCTTGCCCAAAAACCGGCATACAGCCTTCAACCCGGCGATATCAAAAAGGAAGAAACAAACGAAAACACAGAAAAGCAGCCGTGAAACAAGGACGAGGCGCCTCCGAAACCTCAGAAGTGGCTCCATGGCTTGGAGTTGGACCCCAAGGTGGGGATCTCACTCCTGTCTCCGGAGATCGTTCCAAAAAGCTTTAAGCCTTTGAATGGTGTAATGATCCTAAACTGGCCATCCTGCTCGTGCGATTCGTTCCTTGGTTTTGCTTCGAGACTCCATTGGTTTCGTTTCGATGCGTTTTCGCTTTCTCGTCCCGGAACCATCCGGCGGACCGGGCGTCCCTCAGAACGGTCCGGTTTCGGCCGGAGGCCATGCCGCAAGATGCGGACGATGCCACAGCCAATCCATGGACAAAGAAAGAAGTGGCCAGTGTGACTTGACGGGGGAAGAAGACGTCAGTGCTTCCTTGTGCTTCTTAGTCGTCGTAAATGTGTCGGGAAGTGCTGTTTATTGCAGTGGATTCGGTCAAATTGAACAAAGCCCCCGGCATCCTGAGTGCTGGTCATTTGTCAAACAGGTAGAGTGCACTTCTGAATTTGCAGTGACCTCCTCGCAACCTGATGTAACAGTTACTACTAGCTTCTTGTTACTAGTAGTAAGGCACCTGTTACTACTAGCGTGGCACTTGTTACTACTAGCTTCTTGTTAGTCTCAACCTCATTGAACACTGCACAAGAGGACTCCTCAAACTGCATGGTCTTCGCTGCTCGAGGATCCCAACTTGCCGCCCGAGCGACCTGACTTCTCTGGGATGGACAAGGAGCGACTTCACCGGTCTGAGTGGGCTCTCGACGAAAAGAGAGCGTATGAAAATGACTGATGTTCAGCTTGAGTGATAGCTGAGAGACTTCATAACCTGGGCTGAACGTCATCTCAACTATATAAGGATTCTTTGCAGCATTCTGAGATGCTCGATGCCTTTTGGTAAGGACAGTCTGTTCTGACGGGTTTGGAGTCATCAAACAGTCCCTTTGTAATACGTTGTTGATATGTGCCAGGCTCGAACAGATGCATTTGAACCAGTCGTAAAGCCAAACTTCCCAGTAAGAGGCTTCGAATCTTTCCGGTCCGGAATAGTACCGAGCGCCGCGTCACAGGAAGAGAAGCGGCGATGGATGCATCGCTTTGGGATCAAGCAAGGATGCCAAAGCATGAGATGGGTCCAGAGCCAACTTGGCCTAACAGTTTGAAGGTTTTGGTGACTGTAAGGGAAGATGGTTCCTGAACACAGATGAGGGCTTGCTTTCATGCCTTTGTGCGCTTCGAGACTGTTTTTCTAATCTGAGCCCACAAAATGGTTTGCATTTTCGTTTGAGCCCACATGTTTCTGCACTTCGTAGTTGGTTTGCATTTTATCAAGAAAGAGGCTGAGCTGGGCTCGCTGGAAAGAGACTTGGCAAGTCTTCAAAACGCTCTGGAAAGTCCCGAAGTAGTTTCACAGATTCTTCTGGCCTGTAATTTCCAAAAGCCTTGCAAAGAACATAGCATTATATATAACTTATTCCTTACATAGATCCTTGGTTGACGTTATCATCGGTTTTCCTGATGTCGAACCAACACTTGAGCTCCCAAAAAGGCCGGACGAGATGCTGTCAGCCTCAGACAAGCTGCAGAAGGTGACGCTCTGAGTCTGTGGGGATGTCATTTCAAGGTATTTTGACCCTGAAAGGCCAGGTAGGTGCAGGCCCCATGAATATGGATAAAATGCAACCGCTACGTTCGCCTGATTTTGGAAAGCTGGGCGTGCTGCCAATTGGGGGAATTTCACAACAGAGCCAATCATGATCGCACCACCAACCTCACCTTTGTTCTGCTCATTTTGCTGGACCAACTCACCAGTGATGAATGCAACTCATTGGCCCACACAACTACTTTTTATATTTTATGTTATTTTGGAGTGATGATGCATGCTCTTCAATTCGGCCCAAGCACCCTTTTTCTACAATGTGTAGGGCCCATTCTGTCGATTCGCGCAGGAGAGTGAACCGAAGCAGAAGAAGGTGCCAGCATCAGCATTTGCTTCTTTGTTGGTGCAATCAAAAAGAACTACAATCAGAACTCCAGATACTCGAGTCTATAATTGTGAGATGGGCTGCACAAGAACTAGAGTGCCCACTAAGCTGCATCCTTAGTTACTAAGGATGCAGCTTAGCGGGCACTCTAGCTGAAAAACGGTTCTCACGTAGAGCAGACACGCCTGCTTCTTGGGAGAGGCAGCCATATCGGTATAGAAGATAGCGGATTGCAATAGGTGTTTGGGGAGAAGGCATGTTGAAAAACACATTTGTCGTTGCAGGAGAAGCACAAGTCCTTGTACAAGGTTAGTGAGAAGGAGAAGAAGAGAAGGACCGATGCTTTGGGGATCACGCCAGAAAAGCCTTGTCTTTTCTTTTGTAGATAGGTCCATTTACAAACAACTAGGAATCCAACAAGTCGTTTCCAATAACCGTCCTGTCTGCGAACGAAGAAGGCACCTCTTTTTGCCTCCTGATTTGCAATGCCTGCTATGCAAAAAAATCTAAACAGAGAGCTTGGCTGGCACAAATGGTGCACCTTCATTGCTTCGAACCTGAGCTTCTGGCAACGAATTCTTCTTCAACCTCCAGCAGCACTTACATCCACTCCCCAGCAAGACCCTTCAGTCTTCCGCACCGTATGCAGGAAAACTGGCTCTGACAGTCACTTACCCTTCAGCGCTCGTGAGCGCATGCAAGCGGGGCGTGGATAGGTGTCGTTGGAGGTGCCTTGGACTGACTGGTGTCCACGCTCTCTCATGATCCACATGTCCGTTTTCCCAATTTTGACTTGGCTTTCCTTGTGATTTCTGCGGATTTCAGTTTGTTGAGGCTGTATCAGGCTCTCCCCAGAAATGACGTCCGAAGAAATCCCGTCATCGCTTGGCACCCCGAAAGCTGCATTGTCCACGAATCGTGGCTCTATGATCGCTGCGACCCCCAGGTGAAGGGGTCCACAAAGGCACCTCCAGCGGCCGTGGCCCATGTGAAAAGAAAGAGTCGAAAGCAACCGACAGATTGAATTCCACTCTGGGCTGACGGGAACAGGTCAAAGATGTTCGATACATGTGCTTTCTAAAGTTACATTTGTCAGTCAATGAAGCCAGGAGCCAATCAATTTGCGCAGTTGAGCTCAACACAATTTGTCCAACACAAGCTGTCCATCCCTGACCGCCTCCGCCCAACGCAGGACGGTAGCCATCGGCAACAGCGATCCCAGGAGCGCCGGAACAGCAGCTTTGACGTAGAGATGAAGTGCCGAAATAGGGACAATGGATATCAATGGAGGACATGTGGGTGTGTAACCTGCAGCTCCAAACCACCTTGGTAGGTTGACCTTTTGTTGGTACTCTACTTTGTTCATTTTCGGTGGTCGACCGGTCGGTCCGCCTGGTGTTGACCCAGTGCCAGTAGCTTTGGATCACCACCATCCCTGTGGTTGGAGATCCAGCATGGAGACTGATATGTCTCTCTTTGTTTGTTAGAGACACTTCCAGCGTAACGTCGTTGTCGTTGGAGTCGCGGGACGCGTGCACTTCGCGGAACGCGTTCGCGTGGGCCATTCGTAGAAGCCCATTGGTTTCTCCGCTCCATTTCCTCTGAGTGGAGTTCAGTCTTCTCTCTCCTGCCATGTAGGTAACTACTTCTATAGTTTGGGTCTAACCTATTACCTGTAACAGTCAGTAAACAATTATATTCCCCTAAAAAAAGCCTTTACTAACCATCATCATCCACTGTTACACAGGCAATAGGGTAGACCCAATCTAAATTACTGGCTGCGAAGATAGACAAAATTGTATGCATGCATATGCGCATGCATATGCTGATTGAAAGGAAACTGGAAGTTGGCCGCAGAGAGGCCACACAGAAAAAAGGCCAAAGTCACTTTCCTTGCTTGTGAAGTTTTCTTCTGTATGTATTTGACACACAATCCATTTTCTGCACCCCTTTTGCTTCATGGGACCTGTAGCAGCCGTTTCCAAACGGTCAGCTGCACAAGGTCGAAAACAAATGAACGACAGCTTCAACTAATTACTTTCGTGGAAAGGGGCAGACCCTTCAAAGAAAAACTGCATCCGAAAAGTGCAAAATGCAAAGAGGGAATACAGGAAGTCTTCAAGGACAATTCCATTTATGACCAACAATGCTACACCGTTGCACGAAATTCAAAAGTGCGAATACTGCCTTTTCTGTGTAAAGCATATTCACACCGCTTCGTGGCGAAGACCGCCCGCACGGAAAGCACTTGTGCTCCCTGAGCTGGGAAAGAACGATGCAGGGCTCAAAGGGTCAGAAGAAGTGAGCCATGAGGAAAAGATGGTTATGGACAAAGAAAGATCGAGTTTAGGATGAACATCTGCGTTAGTTCTGCAGAGCGACGCATTTGGGGTACCAGTTCAGTATTGGTTAGTGTAGCAGCAGCGATGGTAAGTGCTATGGACATCGGCCACTGCAGCGGATGCTGTCGGTACGGGGCCTCAGCTGGGCCTGCGGGGTAAAAGAGAGACGTGTGTGACTTGCAAGGTGCCTAAGCTGAATTGTCCAGGAGCGCAGAGCATGATGTGGGGAGTGAGGACCGGATTGGAGGACAACGACTGTGCGCAGTGCTTCTTCAAGCAAGATGGACCATGGCACGGGCGGGCGTCCAGATGGCGAGTAGGAGAACAGTGAGAACAGTGACCCAGGACGTTCGGATGCACGATTGTATGTTGGCTCAAAGACTCTGAGCCGAGACTAGCGCGTTTGTTCAAGCTGAGGCGCAATGGGCAAGTGGGATGCCAGCCCGAAGAAAAGATTGAAAAGGGTGCAGAAGACGGCGGCGCCGGCAAGTTTTGACGGGAAAGGTGTTGCAGAAAGGCGTCCAAGAACCATTGACCCGTCTGGTGGTCCCTTTTGCAGGCCGAGCGTCAATCTTCACAAAAAAAGGCGTGGCGTCTTGGCAGAGGCAGCACATGTGTCCGCTGCCTCTGCCAAGACGCCACGCCCTCCTCTCACAGGCAAGGACGTGAGAAATTTCTGCATCGTGTGACGCAGCAAATGAATACGTTTATGGAGAGCGACGGGGTCACATGGGATGCTTACAGTGATGAGCATTGTGATCATTGTGTCAAAGTGCCAGCACGATCCGTTGGAGAGGGGGGTGAAGAGTTGGTCCAGGCCGATGTATTTCGCAGTGGCAGGGCCACGGGAAGACGTCGTGAAGACTGTGAACACGCTAGATGACTTCTTTATGTGGCGGTTGACGGCGCCGCTCAAGGAAGGCCATGCGGATCCGATGGGTCCTTCCCAGCAGCGTGGTTGTTTCGGGCGACACTCTGGATTATCCAGCTGCAAAAGTTTGTGCTTCAGATGAGGAAGTTCAAACGTTGCTTCGGGCGATAAGGCGCAATGCTGGAGACCATTGTGAGCAGCTCCATTGTCTCACGAATCCAGCTGGATCGATCGAAGTCAGCGAAAGCCAAAACGGTTTGTTTTTTTACCACGTGGTCCGGTTGACGTGCAAGGAAGCGGCGAAATGTCACAATCTTGGTAGCTCTTACGCCTATTTGACCAAGCCATAATCTTTTAGAACGAAAAACATACCTCACGACAAACAACTTGGTGATTGATGCATCACCCTACGCTGGTGTCTATATATTTTGGCCCAAATAATAAGGAAATCCGCAGGTGCAAACACGTAGGCGCTTTCAATAATGCAGTTCCAGTCAGGCAGCGTAACTAACATTATATATAAATGTTTTCTTGTTTCTCTTGCGGGAAGGCTGCAAGGCAAGCACAAACGATGTCAATGATGCATTGTCAATCGGGCAGCATAGCTAACATCGCCAATGACGTGTTCCTTTTTCATCTTTTTTTTTAAGCAACTCAAGAACAGGGCATTTTGGAGCAAAAGGCAACCCTCCCAAACTAAAACTTAATGAACGATATAGCAACTACTAGTGGCGTACGCAAACTGACACAACGCCTCCGCAACTTTGGTGCGGGCGGATTTCAACAACACCCTTTTTTATCGAACAGTCGTTCTCCTGCTCTGCGACGGTAAAGAAAACGGACGAAAACAGCACACATCAAAAATGGACCCTTGTTGGTTGTTTTTGTTTTCCTTTGAGTTTTGGGACGAGTAATTTTACTCAACTTGATGATGCAAGAAAACGCACGAAGAGTGGTCCTTAGACGTCACGATATGGCCTTGTCAGCATTCGAAAGACTTCAAGAATTGGTTTTAGAGTAGAGTCATCATGTTTGGGGATTTCATCAATCAGTCTGTGCATTTGACCTGACAAGTAAAGCGTCCAATGATGAACACTACTTCTATTTTGAGTATTGGCCTCAATATCTTACATCCTCCACTTCCTCTATCTTAAGGTGAAGAAAGTGAATTATCATCTGCTGTGAGGACCCTTCGACAGTTTGGGGAAAGGAGCGCCAGGGTCTTCGGGACGTGCCGGTTTCGGGAAATTTCTGGGTGGGTTTGGAGACGTTCTGAGACGTTTTCGGTCAAGAGCAAAAGCCACCAAGGATGGATCTTGCCTTTGTCCGCCACTCACAGCCTCACAGCCTCACCACCTCACCTTTGTCCTCAAAGGAGGTTTTCAAGGCATGTTGAATACTTTTGAGGGTCTGATTCAAAAGGTCATCTCCACATCGAACTCACCTTCATTAGCAATTTTGATTGCATTCTTTGTGCAACAACAGCTTGCCAACAGCTACCGAACCCTGTCAGCGACATAGCAAAATCCAAGTTAGTTTGAACTTTGCAGAGTTCTGGGGCTTCTATGTGAATGGACTGTGGAAGAGCAGAAGGCTGTCAGACCTACCAAATGTCCTCGTGCAGATAGTCAACCTCAACTTCAGTTTTTTTCACTAAGCATCATCCTGAGTGAGAGCGCAGGCCATGCGTGGTCTATGCCTCCTTCGATAGTGGGTTTGAGGCGATTCCCAAGCAGCTGATAATTCAGAAGACTGACAAAGATCAAGATGCTAACAGATTTGGATTTGGTTCTAAGCAGCAGTCCCCATCATTCCAACTGACAGGCTGCGGCTCCTGAGCACTTGGGCGAACACCCACCAACCACTCAAATCTCTGGGGAGGCCGGGAGAAGAATTTATTTTAACGGCAAGACGGTGTTTCAGCAGTTCCGCATCTCGTGGCTATTATATAATCATATATAATCATATATATATATAATATGTTTCCTGCGCATTGTCAGACTGTTGTGTATTACTTGCATCAGCATGATTTGCTTTGCACCTACAACTTCTTTCAGATGAGCGTGTTCTCATCATACTTGGGCGCTCAAGCCTTTGTTTCCCTTGTTTTTCAAACTGGTTTTTACAGATTGATCTGCAGTCCAACATGCTGAAGCCCACATCATCTCTTGGGCTGTTTTCCATATTATGCACATTGAGAGGATAAGAACGAACTAGATCCAGCTGGCCTCGGAAAGCAGGTGGTGGCTGAAAAGTGTGGCTTTCGCCTGAGCTTCAGCAGCCTTTTGGTGGACCAGGAGTACCTCTCCACTAAGGCTGGGTATACTGTATACTTGAACTCGGAACCAAGTTTGAGCTTTGTCCACTTTTGATGTATTTGCAGACCAAATTTTCGGCCCTTCAATGCTTCAATTCCCATTATGAGGTACAGCTAGGAGTTGTGCCAATTGACAAGAGTCAGCCTCGAAGAGAGATGTTTAGGTTCAAAGAGAGATGTTTGTCGACCCACCTCAGCTGTTTGCCCAGCTCAAGAGAGCACCCATGCCAAGCCTCCCTCGGCGCGCCGCACAAGCCTTCTGCGCCTTGATCCTTTGGAAGAGTCCCATGCCACGAAGCTATGCACTGCCGGAAAAGGCCTCTCATGCCTTCACTGCACGGATGTGCGCTGGGAGCCGCTTTCTAGAAAGCCAACGCTCAGATGCATTGTTTGTAGACCCCTTGGCGTCGAAACTGGCAGGGCCACAAGGCTTGGCGCAACCGATGGGTGATTGGATCATGGTGCCCCGAACAAGATTTGGTGATGACTTCGTGCTGCATCACTACATGAAAGCAAGGCCTGGTGGTAGTTGGGGCAGCTGTTTGGAGAGGGCTGTTCTGATATTTTTCATTTGAATCAAGATGTTTCTGAAGAGGTCGTGTACCTAGCTTCATTCACTTCTGCCATCCCGGTGGATGTGAAATGGAGTTCCGACAAGACTCTTCTGTTTGCACATGGGTGTGTATTTTATTAGCCAGACCCCCAACTAATGGGCTTTGTTCTTTTTTCCTTCTTCCAGGAGGTTTGGTCTCCCTAAGCCCTATTTTAATAGACATCCACATCTATCACATCACACGCTGCAACTGGCATTTCCCATGAAACAGCAGCATCAGGCCTTGTCGACAACTGGTGCTGCTTGGTGCTGGCATGGATGCGCGGGCCTATCGCTTGAGATTACCGGAGCTGAAAGTCTTTGAGGTTGGACAATGCTCTCTGCTATGGGAGGGATTGGGGTGGGAACATGGGGGGTGCCAGTGGGTTTCCCCCAGCTGCACAGCTAGGCAAATCTTGGTGGGTCAGGGGCTGTTGGGAAGGCAAAAGCTGTGACAAGATTCATCAGGTTAAGTTGAGCTTCCGATTTCAAGAAACTTTTGCGTGTTTTTGCAGAGCAAGCAGTGCCAGACTAGACCTTATCCTAAACTCATTGGACTCACTCTTCGGTAGATTCTCCGCTGAATCCAAAATCTGAGCGCCTCTCCATGGAGGAGCTGGCCATTCTTCGCATGGCTCATGACACACTCTTAGAAACAATTTTTGTGTGATAGTTTCCTCCTCCAATTGGAGTGAGAGTTTGCTTGAATGCCTGACGCTTCCATGGCACCCTACGCATCGGTCAAGCCACACAGGTGGATCTGCCCATCCTCTTTCAGGAGAAGGAGCCTCTTTTGGAGGGAGAAACTCTCACAGTGCAGTCACGTTCAGTTTCTTGTCCCTGTCCAGGCCCTTTTTTCACACGAATCTTCACAGAATCGAACACTGTAATCAAGTACTTCCCTTTTTGCCGCATCAAGAAAAAACACATATATAACAGTGTATTTGGATGCGGAAGGAAGAAGGATCAGATTTTTCTTTTCCCACACCCACGCCCCTAATATGTCGTTAAGATCTTCTCGTGTGCTCAATTCTGGAATTCTACTTTACAGTAACCGCTCTCCAAAACCTATTTGTTTGCAAGAAAAGTCCCATGTTCTTTGGGGCTACAGTGAGTTTGGACGGTGCCTCCACCTGAGCCCACATTTTCGGCAGCCAAGGTTGTACCAACAGACTTTTCCTCAGGAGAGGACTGGAGTACCAAGCTGCAAAGAGATGAACACTTCGATCCCACTCAGCCCACTGTGTGGCTCCCGGAAGGCTGACCGTCATGTCCTGCGCTTGGTTCTTGTCATGACTGGGAGGATTCCACCAATGTCTTGCTTGGGAGACATGAACAACAACTTTTCAATTTTTTTCAGACTCCATAGTCAAGGATTCAAAGATCATTTTTTGCCCTTGCTGTGGTTACCTTTGTCACTTTTATTCGACATGAGAGAGAGGTTTTTGATGGTCCTATCCAGACAGGCTTGATGATGTACCTCACAGACCGAGAAGCCACACAGACCTTGCGGCGTATCGGTGCTCTGTCAGCTCCACACTCCGCGCTCTTCTTCGACGCGATCTCGGCGAGCTACGTGCGACAGCGGATTGCAGCTCGCAGCGCTTGGTGGTTTTGGGAGTTTGCAGAGTACTACATTTCAAGAACAAGTGTGTGTGTGTGTGTTTGCAACATCCGCTTGGCCTTACTTGGAAGTTTGCTCGGAAAAGACCGTCGTTAGCACAGACCTGAATGTGCCACCTGTCAATGGGTGGATTCATAGGCTAGGGCTATTTGCAGTCAGGTTTGTACTGTGATTGAGACGCAATGTCAAGCCTTGGAAGAGACTGGAACAATTTGACATGACATGCAAGCCTTCCACCAATTATCTCAGGTGGTGGGTGGTGCACCATTTTTGGGAGGCTCTGATCATTATGCTGAGTGGCTCAAGGAAGCAGCTTCCTTTGGACGGACGCAGGCAGATGGTTTGAAGGGTCTTCCCAGGCAATTCTGGGAACATCGGGTAGAAACCATCATTTCCTCCCTGATGAGAGCAGAGATTTCATACCTATCTGAGAAAGCCCGACACAAGTGTCTGATCGCTTATGTAAGGAGGTTGAGGTGGAAGAGATCATGCCCTCCATTAGAAAGGTCTTGAAGTGGTGAAAGTGTGCGAGGGGGCACCGGACTGCGAGCCAAGAAAAGTGCCCACCTTCGACCTCGGAGCGTCCGAGCGACCTCGCCAGGTGTGGGATTTCAACAGCATGCGAGTGGACCGCTGGAACCAACGAAGCTTTGGCTGCAAGAGTCTCTGCAACACGGCCACCGCCAAAACATAAGCTGAACCACTTGAGTCGAATAGACATGCAATCACGAACATATCGGGAGACACGATACCAACCATAAATAGTTTAATGTAGTTTAATACTTGTATTGACAGAAAACAGATGTGGTTACTTTCAACCTCAAAGGAACTCCGATGAGCTCATTGACCTGTTGAGCAAATTGCTACTGCTAAACTAATCTGTTCGAGTGGGTTTCCGGCAAGACCAGATTCCATTTGGTGGCCATCAGTCTGGCATAGACTGGAGCAGCATACAAGTCTCAATTCATATTGAAATTTGCACGCTATTCCCAACTCACGCATGAGGTTCTTTTTTTTGCGATAGGTAATCACTTCTCTGGTGATCCGCACCCTGTCCACCAAGTCTAGCCTGTCCCTTTGATCACTTTGATCTTAAGGACTCTCCAAGGATTGGGCAAGGACTGTAAGCCCCGCTGAGCTCTATGGCCGAAACGTGGTGCTCTTCGTCGAGAGTCAGATCTGAAGTCCTCTGCGTGTGCTGGGAGCTGCGCAAAGCTTGTGCAAACCATTGCCGTCAGCCGTCAGTTGAATTGAGTTTGACAGAAGCTCCAAGCTCAGAAGGATAATCAATGACACTGTGGCAACATCTTCAGTGAAGTACAGAACTTGTGGGCTTTCCCAGCCTTGCGATCTTCTGAAACCCATTCAACTGGCTTTTCCAATACATTTTGGCCAATGGCCTACTGCCAATGGCTGTGTCTAGTTGAATCTTGTGATGACAGGGCCATGTCATTTGGGAAGGGGGGAATCCACAACGAAGCTGTTCATGAGCAAAATATAGCAAAATCCTGTGCACAATCCCAAGGGTCGATGTTCACCAAGCTGTGTGAAAGCCTCAGTACTGGCTTGTGCACAAAGCCTCTCTGGCACTTCAAGATGTTGCAGGTGAAGTGCACTACTCCATCAAATGGTTGAGGGTACTGCAGGTTGAGAGCTACTCGCATTGTCACCTTAATGGTAACAGACAGATCAGATGTCCATTTGGAAGTATGAACACCAGGTCGCAACTTCCACATGAAATGTCTGCCCGACTCTAAGAACAAGAAGCTACTAGGGGCTCCTGGCCTTACTACCAGGAGCAAGGACGCAAGTAGGTTGGAGGCGCCTTGTCACTCCACAAGATTCACAGATGCCCTCTTCAGCCGCTGGGTGAAACGCTCAGTGCGCTCCAAATCTCTGGTGGAACCCTTGCTGAAGCCGTGGACAGAAAAGACTCATTCGTTGGACACTGCAGGCCTCCTGTTTGGATATTTTGGATCCTTTACACCTACCTCGAAGCTGCTAGAAGCCACATGGAGCTTGAAAATTGGTTGAGGGCTGTCTTTGACATGGATTCATCCGAGATGAGGTTCGAGGTTCAGTGAGCCCACCTTTTGTTTGGGCCAAGGGCCATAGGCCATTAATAGTTTGGGTTGAAACCACAGGTTTGTTCCCCGAAGTTGCCACGCAACTGAAGGGGCCCAGGGCCTGAACTAATTGCGATCCTTCCCTGTGTCGAGCAAAGTGCTTGCTCAGGTGGTCCACTACTCTTTCTGGGTCAGCATGTTGTGCCTTTGGCAGATAAGGCCGGAGCCTCCGTTCAAATACATTTGCATGGCACATTCAGCACCAAGCCGAGGCTCTCTTGACCCAGGATGTGAGTCAGTTCAGTCAGTCCGTTTTGTCACTCTCATCAGACTCTGATGTTTGTAGGAAATATATATATATATACACACAGAGTCCGAGAATGTCCGAGACATGTTCTGCGCGGAACTAGCTGCAGGCTACATGAGCATTGCATAGGGACCTGCGACATGGGCCAGGTGTTTCCTTCAGCAGCTGAGTCAGGCTGACGATGGCCCTGCGGTCTCCAAGGCGCAACGACAAACTCTGGTTGTTCTGGTGTTGCTCGTTGTAAGCAGCCTTGGGTGCACAAGATGATTGCATGTCTTGGCTCTGGGCCAACCCAACCCTCATTATGCTTTTTGTTCGAAGGATCCTTATAGAAGCAACAAGCCAATATTGCCGAGAGAAGCAACAAACCACTATCGCCTCGAAGGAACTCTTGTTTCGTTCTGCTGGGTTTCCAGGATTGGAGACACTTAGACTTGACAAACATACAAGAGCTTCCCTGCCTTGCCAGGTGTCCATGCTTTGCATTGCGATTCAGGCCAGGGTCCATTGCGTCGGCGTGAAACCTTCTCCGTTGACTCGTCGGCGTGTTGGTGTGAGGCGCTCACGGACGCCTACGACTCGTTTTTGCATCTATGCCTTGGAATTTCCTCACAGGAGACCCGGGGGGAACCAAGGAGACAGCATATGGGTTTGGTGAGCCGAAGCCACATGGGTTCGGTTTGGTGACCTGACTGGGCACGACGTGGCAAGGAACTGCTGCTGGCAGGATGTATGTGTAGAAATTTGGTTCAAATCAGTGTCTGTATGTTAGCATATGGATGCATTCACTCATTGTCCTAGTCCGTTGTATCTGACACAAATGCCCTGCGGCAGTACCTCTTCAACTCAATGTCCATGGTGGCACTCTTCAAGTTTCTGCTTTGCTCCCTTCTGGAGGCAAGGGCCTGCATTGGAGTAGTTGTGAGGACGATGACACATGCTTTGTTCTCCCAACTGCTGTTGGCTGACAATCAGAGTCTGGAACTTCTCTATGACTCCCCAAACCCAGCACTTGTAGTGAAGGGTTGCCAAGTGTATTTGTAGCGAAAGAAGTGAGTTGCTTGCAAGTGGTTATTAATGAACTAGGTTTGTCTTCCAAATGCACTCGGGCAGAGAAGTTGGACTAAAAGCTATATTGGAACAAGGTCGGGGAAACTGTCTTTCAAGTCAGGTTCTGCGCTCTTCTACAACTGCCCCCAAACCAAAGAATCTAAACAACATGAAAAAATCAAGAGTCGGATTGAGCCAAAGCTTTTCTCACTTCCCAAACCAAGAGTTTGCTGGATCGAGCTCTACGGCAGCAGTTTCGAGCTGCGCAAGATTGCAGAAGAGATCCATGCTGACAGGCCAGATACTTGCTCATCATTCTCCGCCATCGCCGACACGAAGCCTTCTCTGAGGCCTTTGGTGATGAGTTCCCTCTTGTTGGGACAGGTGGAAACCAGTCCAAACAGGTGAAAAAAAATTCAAATACTGGTCAGCTGGTTTGACTGGTTTCCACCTGTTGCTTGTCAAAACAGGTGAAACAAACTTACAAAACAAGCCAACATGTCAGTCAGCTGCCAGCCATGATAAGTTAGGCAGCCTGAGAATCTGCTCAATCTGATCGTGTGGTGTGTACTTTCAATCCAGATCCCTGAATTCAGCCCGTTCCGAAAATATGCGGGACAAGTAGCGTTCAAGGTCCGTCGTGCTTGTCGGACCTTAGACTATTTCCGGCTATTAACATTCTTAAAGCTCAACAGGTGTTTCTTTTCAACCGACCAGCGCCGGAGCTGTGAGGGCTGGGAGTCTGTGCGTCGAGAAGTCTCTTGGTTGCCGGGATGCCCGGGACGGAGCAAGATTGATGCGCTCAATGGCTCAATGGACTCAAACTGGAACATGACCTGGCTCCTATTGCCGACGAGAAGATTCATAACACTGTTTCTTTTCACATGTTTTGACCCATTATTGACCTTACAAAGGTTTACACATGAACTGAGCAACATTTGGATACTAAGGTACACCCGGTTCTATGGTGCTTTGGTCATGGGAAGCCTGGTAGTTTACAACTGCCGCATCCTCAGATGGCCTCGGCAAAGACAGGACCTTCTCCTTGTTTCGAAGTAGTTCAGCTTTCCACATAGGTTTTTAGCAATTCTTTTTGGCATATTTCAAGGACACAGTCTGCTGACCACATGAGGCCTGTGTCGTTTGGAGGTCCTCGTGTCGCTTGTCCAAAATGAGGCCTGGCTTACCTGGACGTGGTGGTGCTGGTCTTGCAGGTGCACTGAGATCGCCTCGGATGGCGTGCCTGAAGTTGCCTTGAAGAAGAGCCAGTACTGTAAAGCCTTTTCTATCAGAGGTAGATAGATGGATTCCTCTTATCTGGTGTATCTCAGTCTCTTGAGAGGCATATTCATATGACTATAACTCTTTGAACGTCAACGTAGACTCTGACTCTAGACCAAGTGTTGACCAGCCTCGGATGGCTGCCAGCTCTACTGGGTGCCGCAGATCGCCTACGATGCTTGGCAAGGCTCCAGGACGGCTTAACTTTCATCATCCAGGGCTTGTGACGATGAGGCAAAAGGCACAAGAACTGCAAAAGGCCCGTTGGACATCCGTTGGGCTCTAAAAAGTGCAGGTCCCCCTTCTCACACAGATGACCCACACATCACACATGCATATACTGAGCAGGAATACACTGAGACCAACTTTTATCACCAGCATGTCAGCATCGAGGTGGGGACTCCGTCCGACGTCCAATTACAGATCAGTCGAAGGATCGATTTCGGCACAAGGACTCAAGCGGTCCTCTTTTTCAACCCCATTGGCTGATGAAGGTTCCCTGCTCTCGGGTCACCCAAACTTGTTCCCTGATTTGTTCATGAAGACATTTCATTTGCTCATATGTTCGCCCGCTTTAGTAGTCCTGGCGGGCACTGTCTATTGACTCTTGAAGTAGGAACGTTAAGAGTGGGCTGTCTGCTTTGCGCACTCTAGCAAGCATGTGTGGCATAGCTTCGTCATCAAGGTACGATGTTTCACATCGTCCTGTGGCGCCTCACAAGTGGTTTCGAAATCTGAAAACATACGACCTAGGGTTTTTTGCAGGTGTTCACATCCTTTGGACATAGTGAGACATCATTTCAATTGTCATACGGAGACCAAGTCCTGACAGGTTGATGCTTCCTCTCTACCTGTGGGGTTGTCATGGCCTCAAACACTCTGGCAGAGTAGCTCATGTGTCCTTGCTGTACCTGGCCCTGCAAATGGGGTGGTGCACCTGAGATTTCGGCAAGCCGGTTTCTCGTAACTCATTCCTCGTGGCTTTCCTCAGGACTCATGACTCATGACCTTTGTTGTAGCACTGTAGCACTAGCTATGGACCATATTCATTCAAAGTGGAGGCCAGACTGAACTCAAGAACTCATCAGTCCTGTTGGCATGCCCATAGAACCCTGTGCAACCCTGCGCGTCCGCACCGTGGGGTGCACCCGCAGGGGTGAACCCGCGTGCGCGTGGGTGAGGTCCAAAGACCATCTTCACGGGTGAGATTTACCCACGTCTTCCTGGGGTCCAAGCCTCAAATTCGAAAAGCTTGCTTCACAGGGTAGCATTGGAGGAGTCCATCAGAGAAGTGGTGCTGGGATAGCCGGACTGCAAGTGTACAGAGTTTCCTTTGCAGTTGACGTTTGTTTCATACCAGGCAGTGTTTTTCATGTCACCTTGAACTAATCCAACAACATCCAAGAGCTTGGTGATTTGGACAAGCAGCTCTTCCCCCGTGCTGTACACCAAGGGAATCGAATCCCAGAGGTGACATCGATCGTTTCTCGAAGATTCCCAGCCCTGAAACCTGCCCGCTGGAATACAGCAATTCAGCAATTTCCAGGCTCACAAAAGCTGGGAGAAGGTCCCGAGCACATTAACCTGTAACCGCGACTAGTATGTAAGCAAAGCTCCTCACATGAGGCGCCGAGTCTTCAGTGGTGCTTGGTACTCGTTGGATTGCAGGCCATACAGGCGCCAGATGTGTTGGTTGTGGATGTCAGAGATGCTATGTGCATACGCATTTGAGAAAAGCCTTAGGGGTTTGGCAGGGGTCCTTTCGTACGTAGACAAGCAGAAAAAGAGATGACAAGAGTCTCAGGGTCGAGTATCTTGATTCTTTCCGAGTGTCAAGGCCTGAACGTTGTCCAAAAGGGAGAACTTTGAGGAAACCAGCGCAGTGAGTCACTGGCAGGTCGGAGTGCTCCTGCTGCAAAAACGCCTTGGTGCTCGTTGGTTTATTCCTTGGGTGCAGCAGCCCAGTGGACCCAAAGTGTTCGGACCAAAGCATTCACCCAAACGGCGCGCGAGTTGCAATGCCGTGGCCAAGATTAGTTGGAATGCCGTGCAGCGTTGTCAATTCCGATTTGACAGTGCCAAGCTCGGAATTGGGGTTCTGACGGGCTGAGTCCGCTGTGCCTAGGTTTGCATGCCTTGGGCATACAACTATCACCGCTTTATGGCCCCTTGGCTGTATTTGGAGAAGCAATGCTCAGTCTCATCCTTTTCGCCCTCGAAGCATCCGCGTCCGTCCGCGTCCGATCCTTTTGGCTTCTCGGAGGGCAAAGCCGCTCCGTCCAGCTCCGCCCAGCTGAGCTCCTCGTGGGTTCGCCCAGTGCGATCCTCGACGTCGGAGCTGAGGAAATTGAAGCTGGCTCAGAATGTCGGATGCTGAGTCCACCGGCCAAAACTGTCACAGACTGTACACTGTTTCTAGTTGGGACCAACAATACATGCAGTGTATTTCCACGCACCAACGTGTTGCAGATTGTACTGCCTGCCACGGACTTCGGACAGTTTTCAAGGCGTGATTTGCATGGCCGACCTGAACCCGGAGGAGCCGAAACCATACGAGCCTAGATGAACACAGTCGTATTCAGAAACTGTGCGGTATTCAGAAACTAGTCTTCAGAAAGTTTTGTTTCCGAATACAACCGTTTCGTTTCCGAATACAACCGTGACCGAAACTATACTATTTGTCATGCTGTACTTGGATTTGTCAGATTGTGGTCAGGTGTGATTGTTTGAGTTGGGGGAACAGGTGCGTGTGTATGACAAAAAGGATCCACTCTCCAGCCTCAAGGCAGCTAGACAGGTGAGTAGTTCATGTGTTTCTGCTCCTTGTGGCATTTCGCAGAAGCTGGGGCACTGGGTCGTTGAAGAACTTCCCGACTCACATCCCGTGCAAGGACGGCTTGCGAGTGGTGACGCCCTGTAGCCACAGTTTTCACCAGGCCAGGGGCTTCCTGCAACTGTGAAGCTTTCATGAGTGTAACTGGGGGTGCCTCTTGGTATAGAGACCCCCTGCTAAACGGACATATATATATATATATATAATATATTATATATATAATATATATCACGAAAGGTAGCTTGAGCTACCTGAGTTCTCCTTGCTTTAGCAAAAATGTATTACAATCAGGAGTTGGGATTGTGCATTGAGTTTGGTCCTGTAAGAGTTGATTCTGTTCGTCGGGGGGGGGGGGCCCCCCTTGGATCAAATCCCCCCTGCGCCGGTTCACGCCGTCATGGACTTTTACCAGGGTTGCTTGTGATTGCCTGCTACCTTTCGTTCACCCCCTCCTCTCTCAAGTATAATATTATAGCCTAGGATCCATCGCAAGGTCAAGGTTGGTCACCAGGTCTCCACACCTGATGTCAAAGAGCGTGTTGAGAGGAAAGGGTTGGTTTTGTGCTTCCTGATGCGCATGCTGTTTGGTCGATCTCACTTCAGCCAATGGGATTCCAAGTGTGCAGAACATGGAACACAGGGAACACAGGAAGACCCATGAGTTCTGCTTCGTCATGGCTCCTGCCCACTCCCTTCATCAGGCCTGCTTGGAGCAGTGGATGGACGTAAAAATGGAGTCCGCGTCCCAAAAGTTCAAGAAGGTTCAAGAGCATTGGAGCCTGATTTCAGATGCCGAATCCTTTCACTCCTTCAGTTGCTGGGTGAAAAGAAAAACATCACCATTTTGGAGACCTTTTTGGATACCAAAAATCATGCTCATCATTTTTTGGGGCGCCTTCCGCCCTTTCCTCAGCTTCCAGGGGTCCAGGACTGGACCGGCCGACGGAAGACGGACCGCCGATTTCCCCCCTGAGGTGCCCGACCTGCCGGGCAGCGTTGCCGCCTCTGCAATGAGGGCCACTTGTCTCACCGAAGCAAAGTCTAGACATTGCTTTTGGGCCAGGGATGAGCAATGGAGCAGGGACGCAATTTTCCGCGGGTCAGCCACTTGAGGTTGAACTCAAGTGAAGATTTCTGATGTAGCCCTGCAATACTTGTAGCAGAAGTGCTTTCCAATCCTGTTTGATCACAAGGCAGATCGAAGCACGCCGGAAAGGGCCAGAGTCAGACTGATAATTCAGTTCGCGTGTGCTTCGGGACATTTGATGGACAGCTCCTCGTGATTCGCGTGTTTCCGAAATTCTTGCAGCATGTTTTGACATGTGAAGAGCCTCCTTTGCCTCCCTAAGTCGGCAGATGGCCCTCGCAGTTGGACGCCACCAGTCCGTCGAGAAAGGGCGCAAGGTGAAAAAGCCGAAGCCTTTCGTCGATGGTTCATGGGTCCCACGGGGCGGATTCGCCTTCCCCACGAACCTTCGCTTCGATCGCGGAAAAAACAGAGGTCTTCCGTCTTGGTTTATTTGGACAGTTGGGTGCGGATTTTCCGGAGGGCTTACTGTAATTAGGGCACTGTAGGCCTTTCGTTGGCATGTGGATCTGAGCACTTGTTCCACATTTGCTCCACAAGATCAAGTAAGAGCATTTGAAGAGATCAGTCAGTGATCAGAGCAATGAACACACATTAGATGTGACATGGGTTTCGAGGGTGGTCACTCCGCTTCTTCCATCGGCCTTCTCGAGCCCAACAGGCGCGCTTCTGGCTGGAGCGCTTGCTCCGTGAGCCGTGGGCTGCCCAAGTCGTCCCACCCGAGTGCCAATGCGGTTATAGACTGGCCTTGTGACCTGAAAGTAGATAGAAAACAGATGAAACACGTATAGAAAAGTGAATTCACTCACAACACTTTGGAACACGTCTAGCACTTTATATCCATTTTGAGGCCACAAAAACACACCTCAGGATATTGCAGATTTACTTCCGGTGGAAGATACAGATCAGCAATGATTACTCTTGTGTCTTCCACACCTACAATGTTATGTGATGTTATGTGTGTACATATATATATATATACACACACATCTAGATGCTCTATTGCAAGTCTCTTGGCCTTTTAGATTCTGGAATTGTTTGTGGACAGTATATAGGATAATTCTGACTGCCAAAAAGCCTTGTTTATTCATTCATTTATTTTTGTGATCTCACAGTAAGCAGCCTATCCTGTATTGCCTGTGCTCGTCACATGGAAGCTGTGCCTGAGCTGTCGGATCCTTCTTTGACTGTGTCTCTGTCCAGTCAGCAAGAAGGGTCAGCGTTGCACGACCCAGCTCGTGCAGGGCCTGTCAGGATGCAGGCAGGTCAGTTTTTAGTTTTGATTCCTAGGCCGCCTCCGTCTAGATGCAATCAGCCACGTCTTGGATACCCTTTGCTTCAGAAAGCCGTTGGAAATCATGGTGCATCTCTTGATCAGCAGGTGGCTTGGCCACTATGGCTATTTCCTGAACATCACCAAGGAAAAGGATGGAGCATTGAAGCTTCATCACATTTCGCTTGCTTCTGATTTTGTGCCTCATATTTTGATTTCTTGGGCAACAGGATGAGCAGCTGCCTAGTTAGGCATCAAACCCGCGGTGGCATCGAAGAAACAATTCCAGATGTTCTCTTTCAAAGCACAGCCCTTGCCACCGAGCATAAGAGCGATTCCGAGCTTGAATTCCTCTTGTATACGTGTCCCATGTTCGGTCAGGTTAGAGACACCTCAAAGGCTGGAGAAAGGCAGGAGTGATGTCACAGGTTGCTTGTGGGTCTTGTCGACGTAGCCCAGGACTGCTTGCAAAACTGAACACACCGTGCCCGAAAGCTGAAGATCGACGTCCATACGAAACGTTAGCTTTGTTATTTACCAACTGTATCCAAGGCATTAAAATAACTCGGATTAATTTGTTCAGTGGTCTGTGTTATTTTACTACTCTATAATTGCTGCATTTGTTCCCTTGTGAACGTTTTGTGAAATATGGAGATTGAGTCCATTTCGGAGTATATAGACCGATCATCTAGACTAGTAGCCTGCATTCAGAGTATTCTTCCATTTGAACACCACCAACTCATTTGTTTCATTTTGTTTCCATTTGACCTCTCTAGTCATGCAATCATTCTTGATCCCTCGCCGGCCGTCCAGGGGCAGGCCCCTCACGAGCAGGCCGTTTGTTGGGGTGGAGACGCAGTTTTTCTACAGCTTCGTTTCACGCGATTCGGAAGGCTTTCTAAGAGGAGGTGAAACGGAGGTTTCACCAGGATCTGAGCTTGTCTGGCGTGGTGGCGGTGCGTGGTCAAAAGTGAAAGGAGGTGTAGCGACTCCACACAACTCTCCTGTTTCTGTGTGGGGATGCAAGGTATCCCAGGAAGTTCCGTAGGTGCCGTAGCTTTACGTTGCGGTCTGGAAAGCTTGTTGAAAGCTTCGGGCTTCATGCACGAAAACTTTCGGGTGAACCAAAGACAGATATTTTACAAGAAGGACTCTGCTTGAAGACCAAGTGCAGGATCAAGGATATCAAGGTAGCTCTGCTGTCACGTCGCACACGCGACTGATACTCTGATACATCCAACGAAACAGCTGCAGCAGAAGCTGTGGGTTGACCGGCGCGGTGTGTCCAAGACGACAGACACTGCGGATGAACGTGTCCAGCACGAGTCCGGCATCGATCATCCCGGGAGGAGGGATGAAGGAGGACCATCCGAATTGGAATGAAGGCCATGAGTGTTCCCAAACAAATGTGGACCACACGCACATGCATTTCAGTTACCACCACTTGCATCATCGCGGGGTCCAAGCTGCACAAAAGAACTGTCCGCCGGCGTCAAGAGGGTCCAATTTCTATCAGAATCCTCCCCAAGATCTCTTCATTTTGGGGCAAGGCAAGCTGTTCTTGTTCGTTTCAACCAAAATGACACAACAGTCATTCCATGAAATGAATGACACCATATAGTAACCAGTATGTAATTGATTTAATAATTGACTCAACTGAGCACGTCTTCTCTTCTCCTCGAACCTCCTAGAGCCACTAAGGCTGAGTGACGTGGAGCTCAGCAAGCGCCGGCGGCGGCGGCGTTGGGTCCGGGAGACCTGGAGGTGTCCGTCCGTCCGGCAGAAACGGCGGTAGGGCGTTTTTCAAAAAGAACCACCGATCGCTTGGGTTTGTTTGTTTGTTTTTTTTTTTCACGGCAGATCGGTCAGATGGTCTTGAACATCTGGAATTTCTCCCAGCTGGCGCAGTACAGATGATTGAAGTACTGTTTGCCATTTGCGAATGAGGTTTGGGCGAAGCGAGAGATGGTGGGGACTCCAGTGCGAAGGGAAGAGAGAAAGCTTCTCAGACTGCCGTGCCCCTGTGTCTTGGTCTATCTACTCATGACACATCAGCCTTGATAAACACTGTCAATTTTGGGTTGACGCCAGGCAACTCACCAACCCAACGTCTTGGGTGCCTCATCAAAATCTCTTGCCACTTCCGAGATAGCCCCGGCAAACAATGGCTGGGGATTAGCTTTTATGAACAAAGCGACTTCTTCCATACTTGGAATGGTTTCCAAGTATGGGGGCTTCAACAATGGCTGTGGAAAAAGCAACAATGAAATACGGACAAGCATTTGTCCGCAGTATGAGAAGTCCAATGGACAAACCACGACATATGGTTCGCAAGCAACTGTACGGACAAGCAACTCAATGGTTTGCAGGACTTTGATTTGCTGAGCAGCGCACGAACTCACAACTTCAATGGAAGTTTGCACCGGTCGCAGAAAACGACTGAGGCTCGCTCAGCGGGCTTTTTCAGTGAAGAAGAGATGAAGGAACGAGACCCACAGCCCCTTGGATTTCAAATGATTTCAACGACACACACACACAACTATAGCCCGTTTTTCTTTTTCAAGTTTTTTGGCCCAGGCTAATTAGCTGTGACCCATCATTGAATCAGGAGTTGAGTGTGGATTGCAACGGACCAGAGACGAGTTATTCAAGACCCACAGTAGCTCATGTAGTAGCTCATGTAGTAGTAGTAGTAGTAGTAGTAGTAGTAGTAGTAGTAGTAGTAGTAGTAGTAGTAGTAGTCGTAGTAGTCGTAGTCGTAGTCGTAGTCGTAGTGGTAGTGGTAGTGGTAGTGGTAGTAGGAGGAGGAGCAGCAGCAGCAGGAGGAGGAGGAGCAGGTGCAGGAGCAGGAGCACCAGCAGCAGAGCAGTAGCAGTAGGCAGTCGCGAGAAAGCAGCTCAAGCCCACTTCCCGCCGCTGTGAGGCTTTACCATCGGCTGGTGGGACAATACATCGATACGACCGCCTGGATGCCGAATGGACGAGAAGTGGTGACGAAAATCCGAACTTTGTAGCTCAAAATTTTGGGACCTTTGCATCAAAGGGGGGACACTGTATACTTTATGTGATCGATACCTTGGGTCTGACAAGGACTGAAAGGTCAACATAGCCGTGACTTGCTGGATATATAGCTTGCAACAAGAGAGACCCTGCTTCTCTTAGCTCTTGGTGTGAAGTATTTATTCCTTAGATTAGATACAATGGGATAGCTAGATATCAGAGACTCAGTTGGGTTCCTTGGACGATGAACTGAATAAATGTTTGCCGCTTTGGACGCTCCATTCGTTCCCTGTTCCGGTGGCGCCACGGGCCCAATAGGTGAAGCTCTCAGATCCCATGCCGCTGCCCCAGGGAATTTGAGGCGTCATTGGACCCACCTTCCAAAGAGGTTCTGCTGAGGGTTCTACTGAGAAGATGAATAACAAGACATGACTTGACTGGAGAAAAGACTTTTTGGATGTGACATGAAAGCTCACCCCGACTTACGGAGAAGGGGATCTTTCTGTGAGATTCGGACAACGAGTTGTGCCATGATGTCTTTCCAAGGCAAGGCAGCCTTAGCACCTACCTCATGCAACAGCTGGAGAAAGAGTGCGAGGCCCGCACGAGGCTCTTGATTTGCATACGCCTCCTAATTTGCTTTGAGGCTGATATTCCGTCCTAGCAAGCCACCGAGGTCTAGTTATATATATGAACCCACGTCCCCGGGTGTTAAGATGTTGGTTCCGTATGTTGGAACCGTAGTGTTTGGGCTTAAGCTCGTATGGATCGGTGCTCGTCGTGCCATCTCTACGACAAGCCCCGTGAGGATTCGTTGTGCCGAGGTTGCCGTTCCGTCCGGAGGATTCGTGATTTCTTCTGCGGCGGCTTTCTCCTGAGGAATCAGGAGGCGAGGGCGGTAGCAGCCCTTAGAACTTGTGTCGGAGAGCTCACAGATTTGGCTGAGATCGCCGCCCCCTTGCTGGAGAAGGGGAAGACCGAAGCAAGTCCGCCTGAAGAGGGAGCGAAAGGAGCATCCGGGACGCCATCGGCTCCTGACATTGAGCAAGCGGCATCAGGTGGAGGAACTGCAACCGAGGCACCGACCATCAAGACAGAGGTAGTCGACAAGGAGGAGAACGCCAACGAGGTACCAGGTGTTAGCGAGGTAGTTGAGAAGGAAGAGGATCCATCAGAGAAGAAGGCAGGAAAAGAAGAAGAAGAGAAAGAAGAAGCACCCCGACCAAAGGCCTTCACAGAGAAGGGTTGAGAAGAAGGAGAAAAAGGCCAGGGAGCGAGAGGCACAGATCGCCGAGGACAAAAAAGAAAGCCTACCTGCATCTGAGGAGGCTATAGCGGCTCGGGTTTTAGACCGGCTTGCGATCACTGCCCCATCGGCAGTTGGGCTAGTTCCTGTTCCAAGAGGAAGTGTCGCCCGTCATTACGAACATCTACCACCGCCTCCTCCGGCGCCCAAGCGGCCCAGGTCACCCGACCATCCGCCTGGCAGGAGAGACGAGCGTAGCAGGTACCCAGACAAGCGTGGACGGCAAGCACACAATACAAGGAGCAGACCGTCAGGTCAGAAGAAGCGTGGATCGAAGGGCGCCAAGCATCGTGAACGAGGAAGGACGTGGCCTTTCCGTGCCCCCTACTGAGCACGATGGCGCCAAAAGCACGACCGGCAGCAAAAGGCAAGGCCAAGGCCAAAGCCGTGGTGGTGCGACCGATGAGAGAGGACAGAGGACGAGTGGGTGCTTTGAGGAGACCGGCGGGAGCTCCCCCAGGCGGGGGGGCTCCTGGGGCGTTGGCTCGCTGGTCAGCGGGCGAGGAGGTCAGGGTGTCAGAGATCCCAATCGACCACGTTGGGGTTGGGACGATGGTCGAGGTGACCGATGGAAGCTACTTCGGGTCACTGTGCAAGCTCAAGTTGACAGGCACCATGAACGAGGAGTTGCTCAAGCACCAGACTGGAAACCCCTCGCAGGTGGTGAGGGCGCACCGCTGCCCGCCCGATTGCGCGGGAGATCGCATGGCTGCGGACCTCCTGCGCGCCTACAAGATGAGGAAGCTGGGCCTGGCCCACCCGGAGGAGGGGTGGGCCAGGAATCTTGTGGTGGTGGACGCCGACGACGAGCTGGGAGCCCTCAGGTCTCGGGGCGAAGCTCTCGCTCCTGTCGACCCCGGGAGCGAGAGAGATGTCGAGAAGAAGGACGAGAAGGTCAAAAAGAAAGAAAGGAGTTCGAGCAGGAAAAGGAAGAAAGACAGAGACAAGAAGAAGCACAAGAAGTCAAAGAAAAGAAAGAAGGGCTCCGGGGCAAGTGTCAGTTCGGAGGGGCGTGGCCGCAAGAAGACAAAGGAAGAGGAAGACAAGAAGAGACGGAGATCATCGACCTCGAGCAGCCGGTCCCTTCAGCTGAGTGGCAAGCATCCTCGAGCAGCATCAACCAAGACGTACGATTCCCTCTACTCAGGTACCGGCTTGGACAAGAAAGAGAGGATCAGAAGACGCGTTCTGAAGAAGGCCAAGCGCGCTGCTCGGAAAAAGGCCAAGGAGAGATCATCAGACGGGAGCGACAGCTCCTCGGACCACAGTGGGACAGACTTGGAAGCAGAGGCCGAGGACACGCTATTCGACGGGGAGACCAAGGTGCAGAGGATAGCGCAACGGTGCCCAGGGGCACTGGCGTGTCAGGCATTGACTATGATGCGTTCCAACCTCCTGCAAGAAGCGGGAGCCGACCGCGAGGGGGACTCCTTGGAGCCCATAGCGCTCATGTACATGAGGCAACACCTCTTCAAGAAGGCCAATGGGCCGGCTCTTCGGGAAATCCTCACCCTTTCAATAGCAGTGGACCAATTACTCAATGCTCGGCCAGCACGAGCGCTGGATACGCTGTTGCAGAGACTGAAAGCGGTGGAAGCCGGCCTGAACGGTGCCCACTGGTCGGTGGCTCAGAAGCTAGAGGTGGGGCCCACCGAAAACTTGACGCTCACGGGCCAAGAGGAGCTGAGCCCAGCTCAAAAAGAAGCTTATTCGGATGCACGGATGAAGATGCTGGCAGGCCTTCCCGAGGGCCGATCAAAGGGTTTCTCAAAAGGAGGCTCAAAGAACAAAGACGAAGGCAAGCGAGACAGAGATCGTGGACAAGGGAAAGGCGGCGGAAAAGACATTGCAAGGCAGCCCACAAGGACGAGCAGGCCAGCAAGTAGCGGCTCCTGGTTGCGGGAGTTCTGAGATTGAGTATGAGGCGACGTTGAATTTTTGGTCGGCTGGCGGTGCGAGGGATCGGCCGGGAGAGGCTGAGTTCGCACTAGACGGCCAAGTTGAGCAGCTGACAAATCCCCCACAGGCTGTTGTAGATCAGCCAGTGGATGAGGCCTCTTTCATAGAGGCCCATGGATGCAGCACTTTCCCGCCAATGCCCCCGCCATTTGTTTGCGAAGCGGGTACGGCGAAGGCATCGGACCTCGTGAAGAGCGATGCAAAAAAGGAGCGCATGGGGAGTGAGTTCGTGGGTCGATCGATTGGCGAACTGGGGGGCTGGGTGGTTCAGAGGTTCTTGGAGGTGGTCCCACTTCGCAGCATGTTCACGGGCAAAGGTGGTGCTAGAGATATTTTCCCTTTGCCTACCTCCTTTGACTTCTTGGGGAGCCTCTGGCCTTCTAGATGCCGAGAACAGATCGACTGGATGGTGTGCATGACTACTGCGCTGAATTCATTTTGGGGTGAGGAACTTTTTGGAAAGGACGAAGCTTCTGAGATTCAAATCAAGGTGCTTAATATTTTGGTAGGTGAAGTTGAGAGGTTCTGCAATCTGGGCTTGGAAACAGTAGGCATTGACTGGGGGTCTTTCTTTGCTGTCAAGAGCATTGATTATAAAGGGGATGAGGTGAAGGTGGCTCGATGGATCAGTTGGGACAACATCGAACCAGCTCTTCCAAAGGAGATCGGAGCAGTGCCTCTGGAAGAGGTGTGCTCTTTGCGTTGCAAAACGTATGTGACCTCTTTTGATCGTTACCTGAAGCCAAAGCATCTTTGGGGAAAGATTACACGGCCTAGGGTCATGGTGGATGATCAGGACTGGGGCAGGATGCGCCGAGGGTTCAGTAGCACCTGGTATCCTTGCCCTGAGGTCGGAGTACGAGCGTTGGGACGTCCCCAGGAATGCCAAGAAGTCAGTGGAGCGATCAACACGCTGTGAGCTCCAGGGCGCAACGGTTGATGGTGTGCAAGGGCTCGCCTATCCCAAGGAGAGCAAGCTGAGCAAATACGTGAGCATGGGGATGAAGCTAGTGGAACAACGCTATGTCACCCAACGGCAGATGCAAGTGGTATGCGGTGGCCTGGTCTACTTCTCCATGTTCAGGCGGCCATTGCTAGGCTTGCTGAATGGTGTGTGGCGATTCATTGAATCCTTTTGTGAGAAACAGCAGAAGTATCTGGCCTTGCCCAAGGAGTGTCGGTTCGAGATCCTACGGTTCATTTGCCTTGCCCCTAGTCCGGATGAACTTTCGGTGTGATGTTGACCCCATGGTTACCTGCTCGGATGCATCACTCTCCGGGGGCGGAGTGTGTCGGTCAGTACAACTCACCTCTGTTGGCAACATGGTTCTACAAGGTGGTCTTCGAGGCCAACGCCCCCGCCCAGCGGAACAGTTCCAGGTGGTTGTCATAGGGTTATTTGACGGGATCGGCGCTCTCCGAGTGGCCATGGACCTTCAGGGGGTCTCGGTTGTGGGTTATGTGTCCGTTGAGAAGGAAGCACATGCCCGCCGTGTCATCGAATCTCACTACCTGGGAGCCCTGCACTACCATGACGTGGCCACTATCACTGCAGACGTGGTCGAGGCTTGGTCACTGAAATTCGCGCAGGCTGACTTAGTGGTGGTGGGCGCTGGCCCACCGTGCCAAGGAGTTTCGGGACTGAACTCCGACCGCAAGGGGGCGCTTCGTGATGCTAGGTCTTCACTCTTCGTCCACGTGACCCGGATCGCAACGTTAGCCCGTCAAAGCTTCCGTTGGTGTCAGGTCCACACCTTGATGGAGTCGGTAAGTTCCATGGATGCCATCGACAGGGATATCATGAGCGATGACTTCGGAGGGAGGCCGGTGCACATCGACGCTGGGCGGATGACATGGTGTCATAGGCCAAGGCTTTACTGGACGACGTGGGAGCTTCAAGAAGGAGAAGGCGCTACCCGCGTTCACGGCAGTCCGAGAGGAAGAAGGAAGGGTATCTTGACGCCCGACTCACACTGATTGGTAACTCTTGGAGTGTGCCGGTAGTGGGGTGGCTCTTGAGCCAACTGCTAGCGTTGCTGGGAGTATCCGAGAGCCTTAGCCCCCAACAGGTTGTGGATCTATGTCGCCCAGGGGGGTCTGATTCCCTCCAGGGGCGGTTGGTGCGCCTTCCACTTCGTCGTGCTGGTCAGGGTTCCGGTTCACAGTATGACCTTGCGTTCAAGCTGTGCAACTTAGTCAGTATGAAGGGAGAGGACATTCTTCTTTCGACGCCCAGTTCTCAGCTGGTGAAGTACCACCGCCTCCGCGCCTTTGTCCCGGCCAAGCTGTGGAAGTGGAGTGTGGTGTCCGGCTGGAAATGGCGCCGGGGTAAGGAACACATCAATAGCCTGGAGCTTCGTGCAATTCTCAACGCCGTGAAGTGGCGTATTCAACATTGTGGTCAACTGGGAAGGCGCCTGCTGCATTTGACTGACTCCCTAGTGTGCCTGCATGCTCTGACCCGAGGACGCACCAGTTCTCGGCGACTCCGGAGCACCATCCGTATAAACGCTCTTGTTCTCTGTTCTGGCTCTCAGTTCGTTTGGTCGTACGTGTCGACGGATACCAACCCTGCCGACAAACCTAGTCGGTGGGGAAAGCAGCTGAAGACGAAGTATAGACATGCCTAAGCGAATCTTGGAGGGCGGAACAGAGCGAGAGCGAGCAAAGATGCGGCAGAAGTTGGGGAGTTTAAAACAGTTGACAGTGCAGCCGGGTACTCGAAAAAGATACGACCTCGCGGTGGATGCGTTTCTCAGTTTCCTCAAGACGGAGCACCTTACCTTGCCCAAGGAGAAGAAGAAGTTGGACCCGCTGGTCTGCGACTACTTGGAGCATCTCTGGTTTAGTGGCAAAGGACGCGGCCTCGCATGTGACACCCTAGCAGGGTTGCAGGACATGCAACCGGGGTTGTGAAGCCATCTCCCTGCGGCCTGGCGGTTACTCCGCACGTGGCAGCACAATGAGATCCCCAGTCGCGCTCCGCCCCTGCCGGAGCATGTGGTCCAAGCCATGGCCGGATGGGCCATCTTTAAAGGCTGGCACTCATTTGCTCTGTCACTACTCGTGGGGTACTACTCCATGTTGAGGACAGGTGAAATCCTGGGGCTGCGAGCGAAGCACCTTGAGTGCGCAACATCCTCCCTCCAGGCTGTCATAAGCCTAGGCTACACCAAAGGAGGCAAGCGACAAGGAGCCGCAGAAAGCGTAGTGCTGGGTTTAGAGCCCATTGTCTTTCTTGTCAAAGCCTGGAAAAAGACAGTCGCTGAAGGCACTAGCCTCATCCCCGCCAAAGTGGCGCCAATTGTTTAACCAGGCCTTGGAAGCACTCGGAATCTCAGATTTTAAGTTCCGCCCCTACTCGCTCCGGCGGGGAGGGGCGACGTTTTTCTTTGCCAAGCACCAAAACCTGGACAGGATCCTGTTGCAGGGTCGCTGGCACACCCAGAAGAGTGCCAGGATCTACATTAACGAGGGGTTGTCTGTGCTGTCTGAGATGAAAATTCCCCCTCAGGACTCTAAGCTGAAGCCTTTCCTCACTGTATATAAGAGTTTCTTACTCCGTCCGATCTTCCACTTGAGCCTCCTGTCGGAAGGGCAGGGGGCCGTGGAAGGAAGTCGAAACCGACTCGCAAGAGGAGAAAATGAAGTTGAATGAAGTTGGAGTTTGAATTTTTTCTTAACAACCTGTCAGGGCAGTACGACTACTGGAGGCTAGGAGGTCTGGCTCGCTGAAGGTAGCGTACTCGAGGGATTCCACTCACCCCGGGTGTGGCCGGGTGAGCTGGATCGCCTTCCCCCAAGGAGGGAACATAAGGGGGTCTGACGTGGTTGTTTCATGGTGTTTTCGATTGTTTGATGTTTGACAAATAGCTGCGAAGTGGTCCAAAAAGGAGGAACTGGAACATCTTTATATATATAAGTTATATAGTATGTATTTCGTAAATCGCTCGTCTTGGAGAAATCCAAGTGGAAGACTTCGACAAGCAGGGCAACAAGAACTTTCTCCCCAATCACCTCGTTTGAGGCAGAGGAACTTCAACTCAGCTGCGCCGCTGTGGAACGAGGCCGTTTGACACCGCGCCCATGAAAACACAGTGCGAAGTCACGGTTGGCAGTGTCGTCTGAAGGGGTTCCTGGGATTCCCTCATTCATGATAGGCACGCTATTAGGTTGGAGGCCATCATCAGAGTAAACATGAACTTGTTCGTCCATTGAAGACCTTCGGTTCGAGTTTATCTCAGCATGGCTCTCGAACGAGCCCGGGACATGGAGCGCAGCGATGTCTTCTCGCGAGCCCAAAAGTGGACGTCATCGCAGTCCAGATGATGACCGCAAACGAAGACGTGAGAAGAAGGAGAAGGAGAAGGACCGAGAGAAGGACTGTGGGGACCGCGGCCGTCGAGACAAGGACCGGGGCGATCGTGATCGCGGCGATCGGGATCGAGGCGATCGGGATCGAGGCGATCGGGACCGAGGCGATCGCGACCGAGGTGACCGGGAGGAGCGACGACTGAGGAGGTCGGACAGAAGTCGAAGTCGAAGTCCACCAGCTCCATCACCTCCGAAGGTCGTGAAATCCACGAACTGGAAGGAGGAACAAAATGAGGGTGAAGATCTTCGAGACCACTCAGATGATGAGGAGACAGCAGCCCGGAAGCTGGAAGAAAGCCGAAAGCGCCGAGCGGCCATGATCACACAGGCGAAGGAAGAGAAGGAAAAGAAAGAACAAGAGGAGAAAGACAAGGACATTTCCGGTGAAAACGAAAAGGCCAAAGAGGAGCCTTCCGCCAATGATGTCAGTGAAATGAAGATTGAAAAAGACGAGAAAGGAGAAAACGGAGAGGAAGATGAGACTCAAGAGAAAGAACCAGAGGTGAAAGATGGTGGTGGCGACATGTTTGACCTGAACTTGGACGCCAAGGAGCTCAAGGCAGGCCAAAAACGGACACAAAACATTGCTACCACTGGTGCATCAACCGAAGATTGGGATGATGAAGAGGGCTACTACATTGCACAAGTGGGTGAGCTGTTGGAGAGTCGCTACCTGGTTCAAGATACGGTCAGTGGGAGAGGTGTGTTCTCCAATGTGGTGAAAGCCAAAGACACCAAGACCGAGGGCGAACCTTTAGTGGCTTTGAAGATCATTCGCTCCAATGACATGATGAAGAAGGCAGCCGAGAAGGAGATGGAGATCCTCCAGATGCTGAACAATGCGGACAAGGCCAACAAGAGGCACATCGTCCGTCTCATCGAAACCTTCTATTATCGGAAACACATCTTCATGGTCTTTGAGTGCATGGCAGAAGACCTTCGTGGAGCTCTCAAGAAGTACACCAAGAACAGGGGTATGTCAATCATGGCGGTGAAAGGATACACAAAGCAGCTGTTGATCGGGGTTCGACACATGCACAAGTTCAACATCATCCATGCTGACTTGAAGCCTGACAATATTCTCATCAGTCAAGACAACAGCATCGTGAAGCTGTGTGATTTTGGCACGGCCGTTGAGCAGAAAGACATCGGTGTCTCCCCCTATTTGATGAGCCGCTTCTATCGACCTGCCGAGGTCATTCTGGGCTGTGAGTATGGTGTGCCCGTGGATGTTTGGGCTCTGGCTTGCACCCTCTACGAGATCTTCACCGGCAAGACCTTGCTCCAGGGGAAGACCAACAATGACATGCTCAAGCGGATCATGGACCTGAAGGGCAAAATCCCCAAGAATGTCATCAAGAAGGGTGCAGTGTGGAAGAATCACTTTGATGAGAACCTAGATTTCAAGTTCATTGACAAGGATTCCATGACGGGTGAAGAGATCACTCGAATCATTACCGACAACAACTGCAAGAGAGAGCTCAAAGAGTTTCTGCTGGACCGTGTGGGTCCAGAAAAGCAGAAATCTCAAGAGCGAGAAGATCAACAGTATCCGGGTTGTGGTCTAAGAGAGCATTTTGTATATTTTTCCTATTTTGAGAATGTTGCCATCCCAAGCGACTGTTTTAAAACTTGTTTCAAATGATTGTCAAACGATCATAAATCATTCAAACCAGGTATGTGAAGAAGACGGTTCACTTTGCAGACTTGTTGGACAAGATGCTGGCGCTAGACCCTGAGAAGCGCTTGACGGCAGAGGATGCCCTCAAACATCATTTCGTGGAGGATCCGAAGGCCCAGAAGGCCGCAGCGGGCGCCGCAGCGGGCAAGCGTGCCTGAGGACAGGTCTCGTTTACCTTGCGAACAATGACATTCCATAAGTGGCGGGAAAAAGTGCAAGCAGAGCGCCGGAACCCGGGTTTTTGACGGTCGTTGAAAGACCAGTGGCTGAGGTGTGAGGATCCAAGCAAACCCGATGCCCAGACAGATGCTGAGTTACTCAGTGCGAGGCGATGCATCGATGCCAGCACCCGCCAAGAGGCATGCCGGATCCTGCTTGGCGTGGTATTTTGAAGACAGCTAGATGTGCTAGGCTATTGCGGCTCAATGCCTTTGCCCACCCAGCTTGTGACATCTGAGCTTGTGTGAAAGGGGCTGTTTAGGGTGAGCACTGAGCTGTTGGCGGCAACGGTTTCAGCCGGTCAGGCAGAAAGTTCACGTGGCGTCCTCAGCTTGGGAATGCTGAAGTCACGTCTAAGCCGCCCGTATCACCCAAGACCACCCACCCAGCAACTGAAGTGCACCTATGATTCCAGACTCCAGAAAGCATTAAAAAGCCCTAGCCGCAGAGGTCCAGCCTAACTACAGACCAATCTCTTTGACTTCTTCTTCTTCTTCTTCTCATACACACAAGACGAGCAACAGTGCATGGAAGCAGTTTCTTAAGACCTGTTTCTTTCTTTCGTAGGTCATGCTTTTTTTGTTTGGTCAAACGCCAAACGCCTAGCCGCGCAACAGCACTTTTGGACCGCTCTTTGCCCGCAACATCCGCGTTTGCTGCCCTTCGGTCAGGACGGAGGTGAAGAGTTCACCAATGAGGACGGCTGTGGGTCACCCCCACAGGACCATTGTTATTTTTCAACACGTGTAAATCAAGTACGAATGCCGGTGCAGTAGTCTTTCGACTGCAAAGCTTCCAAGCAGGACATGCATTCTCATACAGATGGTTTCAAGCTAGTTCTCGTTGTGGCGCATGAGCACTCTGGAGTCGGAGGTGCATTATTTTGGAGCAAGGCACGAAGGTCCCAATTCACATCTGACCCTTGTTTCAACGGTTTAAGATGTAGGTAGGTGATTCCTTTTTTGTAGACTTGATGCCTTCACTTGCGTTACTTCCCTCCATGCTGCTGGGATCTCGTTTGGCTCCTCGTCAGGACTACTACGACGTCAGCGACACCGAGGCTGGCAGCGATGACTTCGCAGTGAGGCTGGCAGCGAACGGGGCAGACTGGGCAGCGCAGGACAGATTGTCAGAACTTACATGGACCGCTGCCCTTCTTTCTTGGAACTCCGACACTGGACTTTGTCTATTCCTGAACACAATGATGCGATTTCCCTCCTTGGTGTGACTTCTCCCCAGACGGCACAATGCACGGGAAGGGGGCAAAGTCTCAGAGGCAAACACTCTTCGCAACATAGGTACAAACCAACACAGCACAAACAACTCATTGCCTCAATGGACTTTGGGGCTGGCTCATTTGCTCCAAGCTCTTTCTTCAACAGCGCTTTGCCCTTTATGGGCACAACCTGACAAGGGTGGTTCCACGGTTGGTGCGGGCACAACACGAAAAGACAGCATTATTTGTTCGTGATAGGCTGTGACAGCTTTTGGGAGCAATTCAACAGTAGCAGGACGGTGATGTCACGGCCTCTTTGCATCTCCTCGATCATACTGTAACTTGGAGGATCGGTCCGTTCAAAGGAAACATGTGCAAAATTGAAACTGGTTTGGGAATCTTCGGATCATTTTTGGTTCCTTTGACCATTGGCCCCACAATGCTCAGCACCCGTGTTTACGTGAGGCGAGCCAAGTTCCTCAAAGCAATGCGCGATCGCTTTGTCGATGGACTCGAAAGGTGCCTGATGGGGAGGGATCCCAGCGGTACCCGCATGTACAAATTCACCAGATTTGGGGGTTTGGCTGTTTCGCTTTTGCTTTTTGAGCCACCAGCCAGGCCAGCCAGGCTAGCCAGTGTTTTTCTTGCAGATTTCCTTAGTAAGCCTTAGTAGCGAATTCCAGAAAACATCTTTCCAAAGGGCCACGAAGGTCCTCGTCCTCCACCAGGAACTTCGACTATGCCGCGCTGGACGAGGACTCCGAGCTGGATGACGTGGTGGAGATGGGACGCGACGCGGAGGAGCGGGGACGAGCTGAGGACGTTCCAGTGGCGCTTTAGGATTTCCGGCGCCCTCGTACTTGCATGACCTTGGTTGGTTCTTGTTTGCTATTGTCATCCTCCAGCGTTGGACGTTGTTCTTCATGAATCCTCCAAAGTGGAGATTCCAAACTGTTGGATTTTTTACTGTTGGGGTTGGGATGGGCTCACTCAAGACGAATAACTACAGAATTGGAGAAAAGGAGCCTTACTCCATTGGTCTTTTGAAAAAGCGCAAGAATCTTGGGGATTGTAGGTAGTTCCTGCACCAGGAGAAGTACTTTGATGCAGAATGAAACTGGCGCCACCTGCGGTCGTGAGCCACCTGCGGTCGTGACTTTGAATAGCAAACAACATGGCAGCAATAAAATGTTCCTGCATTTGCCCCAGTATGTTTGAGGGTGCTGAAAATGCTTTGAGGTTAAGAACGCATTACATGCATTCTCTTAAGTCTTGATTTCTTGACATCCTGAAGCTTCTCAGATTCTTGACTATGCTGGAAATTACATTTTGATGCAGGGGCAGACTTGCCGATCAAGGTGAAGTTGCCATCCCTTGGATAACGACCATTCTCTTGAGTTGCGGTTGTGCTCATGCTTTTTTAGCGTGGTTGAAACTAACAAGTAAGTCGTTGAAACCAACAAGCAATGATGATAGTGTGCCACACTGTTTGCCTTTGCCAGCTGAAAGATGTGGCTGGTGCAGAAAGCTGATGAAGTGGGAGCGTTTCTCACCACTAGCTCGAGCGATGCGATTTCTCAAGTCTGACATCATGTGACGCACCAAACGGACACGGGTATCTAGCCGAATCTACCCAACCAAGGACGCGTGGGATTCTGGTGCTTGCAAACTTTGCGTTCACGTCGCGCATTGCTCTGGTTTAGGTCCAGCGAGATACAGGTCGTGTAGCGATAGTTGAAAATGGTTGGGGCAGCTCTCGATTCAACATCTGAGTGGACTGGGTCTGACAATTGTTGAGCCGAGGAGATTTATTGTTTTGGGCTTGTGGTGTTTTCACAGGCCGAAATGGTAAAGAACATTAACTAACCATTTGCAGTAGCTGATGATGCACTTATTGAACCTATAATTGAAAGGATGTTTCAATAATGATGACCAGGCCATGAGCGCTTCCAGCTTGACAGCAGCCACGTATACGCATACATCATAGCCATTTCTCCACTAGCTTTGGTCAGCAGCATTTCAGTGATCAAGTGGGTTGATCGGCTGCCCTTCTCCAAGATCTTGCCGCCATGCCCGTGGGCACTTCCAACAAGGCCAAGCTGAGAAGCTGGGTGCGACCAAGTGGATGGCAGGTGTAGCTGGCGACCGAACGGAACCAGTAGACTTAGCGCTGGACATGTTCAGCCTCGCTTTTCGGAACGTTGCCTTTGGTGGGGGCACCAAATGGTGTTTCAACTAGCATCTTGACACCTTTCTCTCCGGCACTCGCCTCTCGCACAGACATGATTCAGTGCAGGAGCCCTTATCCAAAAACGCTTGATTCCGGGAATTGATTAGTTGCTTGTCAATGTTCCTGCCCATTACTATAGACAGAAAAAGTGTTGTCTTGTTGAAGTCATGCTTGGCAGGCTTCTACGTCATTGCTTATGGATCAGATTAAGCTCCCGCCGTCCCCAGCCAAGCACTGATATGTGACCTGAAACCCGTGCTACGGGGAGCGAAGGCACAGAACGATGTGATCCGCAAGAAAGCGGCAAGTGGGAAGAAGGCTGGGCTGGACGCTCATGTGGATACCCCAAATCACCCTTTTTTCTTCAGGACATGGGTCTAGAGAATCCTTGAGACTAGGTTTTCTTGGCTGTGGGAAAACTCAAGTAGAAAAAGGAGTTCATTCATGCTTACTTGGTATTTGGGGACATTGACAGAGCTTGACTAAAACACTTTGACTGTGACGCAGTAAAAGTCTAAGCTTGGATGGCCTCAAGCGTGCCCCAGCCGTAGCTTCAACACATCACGCGCGAAGTTCAAGGAAACCGTCTCTTCATCTGCGACCGCTGGGGGGGAATCCTCCCCTGCGACCCGTGCGCAAGCCAGCAAGCCCGACGGGCCAGGAGATGACCGATGAGGTGCGGTCAGACTGCGCGGCCCGAGACATCGAGACTGGATGACGGATTTGTTCCGTTCGTAGCGATGCCAGGAGCCCCTAGTAGCTTCTTGTTCCTAGTAGTATGGCCAGGAGCCCCTAGTAGCGTCCTTGCTACTGGAGGTTTCAATGATGAAGACCTAATTCAATATGTTTTAAGACTCATGTTTTTCCTGCTGAATCTTCTTGTGCATAGTCTTCTCTGCTCTCAGATTCATTTGCCACCTACACATCCAGAATTATGTCGTGGGAAAACAGGCAAAGTTGAGGTAGACAAGTGAAGCACAGGAAGTTTGGACCATTTCAGCCTCGTGCATGTTGGAGGAGCCTCCCTGTTATAGAGATCAAGTTTTAAGTCGCGTACAGACTCCTGAACTTGTGGCTGGATGCCCCAGAACTGCAGGATATGGAGTTCAAGAAGAAGCAGGTGTGGAGTGCAGCTGCAAAACATTAACGAGTATCTAACCGTTGGACCTTGAACCCACAGCACAGCACAACCAGAGAATGTTGCTCACAAGATATGAATCCTCTCATATCTGGGTTTCTACACCTCTCACTCTTCTTAGAAACACAATCCAAATCTGGACAAAGCATTCTCCGCCCTTGGCACCCGTGTATTGACGACCGGATGTTTCCAACAAAGTCTGCTTTTGGACAGCAAAGAAAGTTCAAGCAAGTACCAACACCAACTTAGTTTTGAGCAGAATGGGCACATACAAATCAGGATTGATTATGGAGTCATGCGGGATCTTCTTGTTTGTGAGTGATCTGATCATAAATCCCCAATGGACATTTTGACGTACATTCACAAGAATAATAATCAGACAAGCCGTGCAGATGTCGACACCCTTTTGCATGGAGATTCATGGAGGAGCTCACAGAGGGATCTCAGATTCTGTGGCGGCCTTTGACGTGCTACAGAACCTCGCAGGCAGAAGAAAAGAAGGCCATGGCAGCTGCAGCCAAGGCGGAGGGTCGCTGCTTTGCCTTTCGGTTTGGCATTGAAAAGTGCTGCTCTCCTGCTTTCCCAGTCACAGGCACAAGCGGTTTGCTAAATTCGACCCTTGGGTTTGACAAGGTTAGAGGGGAGGCCTTTGCAACTGGCTGTGACTATACTATGTCGTAGAGAATTTGCATTGCGACCGACGATCAGTCTATGGGAAAGAAGAAGCACGGAGCCTCAATGTGGGTTTGTATACGTGAGCCTTCCCCCAGCCCCGGTCCTGTGGTGAAATTTCAGCTGTGGTCTCCACGGCATTTGCATTTACCGAAAGTTTGGTGGGATTCGTTCCGAAGTCCTTAAAATCTTCAACATTCTCCTCCTAAAAACAGGCAAGCTCAAAGGGTTTACAGCAAATTTGGAAGCGCACCTTGCGACATTAGACAGCTCACAGCCAGATGGCAGTATATATTTCTGCTCAAGTGAAAGTGAGCCAAAAAACAGAGACCTCATTCAGGCATGCATTTTAACTAGACGCATGATACGTGATGCTGTACATGGACAAGCACTGTTTACCTGTTTACTGCTCGTTTACCGTTTGCAGCCACTGGTTCTCCTAGTTCTCCTTAATTGCCCGCCCGCCTTTACTTTACAACGGATTCCTGGACGTGCCGTGGGACTTCTCTCAGGTGACCGTGATGCTCAACTCAACGAACTCCTGAAGTGGACGCCCTGGAATTCTCGCCATTTCAGACCGGTGGGCCGAACGCGTCCACCGGCAGGCACACAGACTTGAACAGCAGGAAAAAGTGGATATGCAGACCGCATCCTGAGTGCCAGACACCTTCTTTGAGCGAGCCGGAAGCCACGGTCACCGATTTTTGTGTCAATGGACACTCAAGACCGCAAGAATACTAGAAGTGCGATTTTTGCTCCGCATGGACTACGTGCCAGCCCCTGTAGACCATGTGGATCTGGTGGATTCATCAGATTCTGAGTCGACCATGGATCAAGCATGTAAACACTACACCCAGCCGAGCTCCTTGTTCACACAGTGTGTGTCTAAACATGTCTTCATGATTCTTCATGAGTCGTCACCGCGCCGACGATTTGTGGCCCGAAAGCAACATCAAGTAGTCTTAGCTTGACAATGTGACTTAAACTTAGTTCCATGGACCTTTACAACATGCTGGCCGTGCTGGCCTGGTTCCTTTATGTGCGCGTCTCTTTGTCCATGAGAGTTCGTGAAGGTGACGACATCCTCCCCCTCGTTGCACTGTTGGAAGGTGCTGTGGCAAAAGGCATGACTCAAGGCGACGTGTGCACAATGTTGGTAGAGCATAGCAAGGACTTGAAGGATGAGCAGTCGATCTTTCGATTCATCACGCAAGTCTTTGCACTTGGGAGTGACTCCGTTGGAAAACTTCACCCTGTTGCAGTGCTGCGCTGCATGGCTGTATATTTGAAAATGCCACTGAATATCATAGACAGCGACACCAATGAGACTCTGCTGTTCCCAGCTGTGTTGGATCATCAACCAAAATCCGTTCAATATCTTCTTGCCTCAGGGGTGCCGGGAAACTTCAGGAACTCAGACGGTGAAAATGCTGCGGAACTTGCGCTTATATTCTGTCCAGAATGTTTGATAGACTTGCTGACCGGTGGAGTGAATCCCAATGATGAGTTTCAGGAGAGTTGCAGCAAAGCAACCATTTTGCAAGACGAGTGCCAAGCTGGGTGGAATTTGGTGCATTTCGCAGCTCAAGCGGGTGCGGCAACATCATTGAAGAATCTGAAGCAATACGGTGCTGATTTCAATGCAAAGGACCATTTGGGGCTGACCCCTGTTTTGGTTGCGATCAGACGGGGACGCTTGCAAGTGTTGTCAGAGCTTGGACGCCTCGGTGCCAGTCCCCACCTTAGTTGGTCAACATGTTTGGATGGTGGGTTCAATGCAAGATTTGTACATATCATATTGCTCTATACCAGGTTTGGTTGAAGTGACCGGGTCTCAGACCATGTACACCTGATTCTACTGATACATTTGAGTTTCGTTGCCTCTGGCAACACCTGTAGGAACATTCGTCAGTTGATCTGAGTGAGAGCGCACACAGGTTTTTTCAGCGTCCACAACCAGCGCGGCTGGACTCCAGCTCACTATGCTTGTCGGTACTTGGATGACTCTATTGGTCTGGTCAAGTTTCTGGTGACTTGCATGAATGACATAGTAGATGTGTTTGCAAGGTGCACAGGAATGAAATGCGGCTGTTTCCTATTTGAATGCGACCTTCGCTGGTGCCTTGTTCGCTCAGTGTGTCTGCAGCACGTGAGGCAACCATACAAGAATTTGGTGGCAGCCTCAATGGCACAAACCACGACAACCAGACGCCAGCTCACATTTGTGCAAGCGCACGTATGAATTATCTTGGAAGATCAAATCCAGATGCTCTCAGCTATTTACATGAAATGGCCATCGAATCCTTTCAAGTTCGCGACTCAAACAACCGAACACCAGAAGAGGTGGCAGAGTCAGAGAAGGGCAATGTTGCGGAGATTTTCTTTTACAAAATTAAAGTCAATCAATATGCAAGGCAGGCGGCTAAAGCAAATGAAAGGAAACACATATTTCAAAAGAAGTCCGAGGAGGCAATCAAGTGCAAGGACGGGTTCCACGGGTGCGATGGAATCCTTGAGAGACCGAGTCACAAAAGATGAATAGCTTTGGTTTGGGATGCCCGCTGTGTTCGTGCCGGATTGGCATGCCAATCCCGCATGTAAACGAAGCTTAGAGGCTTTAGTGGGCCGAAAATCAATTCAGGAACCTTGGTGCGATCCAGAATGAATAACTTTTGGCATAATAATTAGATCGTTTTCCTTGTCCGATTCAGAAAGCTTATGCGACTGATTCAGAGTCACAAAATTGTGTCTCGACTCATTTTGATCGGAAACTGCTTTGCCACGGGGTGATGGGTGATCGGGTGGTTTGGTGGGTGGGTGCTATTGACATTCTGCAGGTTGCATTGATCAGTATGATCAGTTCATGCAACAAAAATTGTCCAAGTGTCCTCAGCTGTGGAGTTTGCGCCTGCTGCAGTTTACAAATCCGCCCGCAACTGATGTTCATATCGTTTCATGCATCCAAAGTCTAGCCCAAGGAGGACCACCATGCAACGATTCAACCGGATAGCTCAAGGTCTTTCAACATTTAGAAGCGATCCCATCGAAGTCAACTGTGGTTACGTAGGGGCTTTGCCTCAAAAGATGCTTCTGCTGAGTGAGGAGCCTTCTTTGAAGTAGCTATATTATATAACCGTCATGACTAAGCTTGCAACCTTTCCTTAGCAACAGCAGAAGCTCAACACCTTCGAAGCACTGACAATTGTTCAGTGGGCTGTCAGGAGCTTGAGGAGCAAGTGAAGACCATTTTTGATTGCAGTGGAGACGGGATCAAAGTGCCGCGAGGCAAGGCAAGGAATTGAAGCATCCTCAATAGGCAGACTTGGGTCAGGTTTCATAAGGGGACTTTCCATTTAGTTCAAACTACTCTCCAACTCATTGGAAATACTATCCATGACAGGAATCACAACTGAAATTCATCAAGCCAGTCAAGAGTCAAGGTGCCAATGTTTCTACTTTTGGATCCAGACAGTTATGGTCAATCTCCCACGGGCTGGACCTTCCCAAATCCCGCTGACAGGCGTTATGCTAATGAAAGAATCTCAAGGCGATTGTGGCAAATCACGATGTGCAGCGAGATGCCCGAATGCTGCAGCGTGCCCTGAATGTCAGGATTGTGAGGCTCAGCAAACGCAATGTGCTGACGGATATGATGATGCATCACAAGGTTGTAGCAGGCACAGTGAGCATGGCCGGAAGTACACGTGCTACCACCATCTGAACCAGTGTTTCGACCAAGGGCGGGTTTGTTTGAGGGTTCGCTCGGGAGCGCTCGGTGCTGGATTCCTTGCCAGGCTAACGCAAGAGTTTTCCCTAGAATATTGAAGTGCACAATCTTTGTGCAGGGGCATAGAATACGTGTTGCGGGCTCCTTGCCGTTTCGCGCGTGCGCTCTTGCTTTCGTGTTTTGCGCAGTCTTGAAATGAGAGTGCAGTGCAGACTAAAGATTCCTCATGTTTTGGTGCACTTTTGTGTGGCACACACACACACACACTTGGTCACAGGTTCATTCAAGTTCATAATCCACGAGGAAAAGGCGATGGAACGGTAAGGCGAAGTGGTCCGCTCAGTTGAATCTGTTGAACAAAAGTTTGTGCGTGACTGCAGAACGCGCCGGCGGCTCAGCGGCACAGCTGCGGGGGGAGGTTTAGGGAAATAGCATGAGAACCACCATGGAAACAACAAAAAGCGCGGAAAAAGTGGAGTGGTGTCACGTGCAGGTACGTTGATCCAGCGTCCTGGATCAATTTCACCAGCACACATCCAGTGTCTTCGTTGGTGCAAGACTGGATGGCAATGGGCTGCTTGCACCCCCTGCATTCTTGAATTCGCGCATGCAAAAGAGAACCCATTGGAGCAGGGGGAGACACACACACAGACAGCCGTTATTCCGGCGCATTACGGCGGCACAGCGCAGGTAAATGGCGGCAAATTACGGTGTCAAGAAACCTGAATAGCCACCTAAAAAGAAGGAAGAAAGACAGAAAGAGCAAACGGAAGAGGGCAAGAGAAAAAGATAGGTGTAGTGCCGTGCACATCTGTCGAGCAAAAGTGCCTAATGAACGGCAAAATACGGGGTCAGACCTTTGCACTCGCATACGAAAGTGAAAAGACTTGCAAAAAAGGTTTGAACCGTGAGCTCGGCAGCATGAAAACCGTTAGCGCGGCCGCTTTGCGATCAGTTGATTCATGGGTGAAACAAAATCAATCTGATATCATAATCCAAGAACTCAAGGCCGCTAAATCGATATGTGATTCACAATGGCTGGCTTCAGTGCCCCGTTGCGGGGGATCACACTGCGCACTCAAGTGGGAAAGCACAGCGAGGCACCCTTAGTCACAGGTTCATTCAAGTTCATAATCCACGAGGAAAAGGCGATGGAACGGTAAGGCGAAGTGGTCCGCTCAGTTGAATCTGTTGAACAAAAGTTTGTGCGTGACTGCAGAACGCGCCGGCGGCTCAGCGGCACAGCTGCGGGGGGAAGGTTAGGGAAATAGCATGAGAACCACCATGGAAACAACAAAAAGCGCGGAGAAAGTGGGTGGTGTCACGTGCAGGTACGTTGATGCAGCGTCCTGGGTCAATTTCACCAGCACACATCCAGTGTCTTCGTTGGTGCAAGACTGGATGGGCTGCTTGCACCCCCTGCATTCTTGAATTCGCGCATGCAACAGAGAACCCTTTGGAACAGGGGGAGACGCACACATACACACACACTTCGACATTGGTTTTCAGTTAGTTCAATTGCCACGATGGGAAGGAAGGTGATGGAACAGCAAGGCGAATGAGTCTGCACAACAGTATTGTTGAAAAATGTTTCCGAAAGCGCTCAAAAGAAATGACGTTCAGCAGTAGCTGCGATGCGGAGGAAAATGGTTTGTGGGAGGTATCATGAACAACCATGGAAGCAAAAAGTCGAATTGGACAGCGTAGTCAAAAGTTCCTTGGCAGGTACAAGAGCCGGCGTCCCAGCTCTCTTCCAACTGATTTCCGTAGCTTCGTTGGCACGGATGGGTAATCAGTCTCCGTGCCCCCTGCTTGGAATCACTAATCAGAACCCTTTGAAACAGGGGTTGACACACACACGGTGCCGCTTGGCGGCGCTCGTGTGAGAAACCTGAATAGATACCTAAAAAGCCTTAGAAACGAAAAAAAGAAAGACAGAAAGAGCAGCGCTAAGAGGGCAAGAAAGAAAGATAGGTGTAGAAAAAAGAAAAGTGAATACTTAGCCTTTGACTGGGGTAGGGAAACGAGCCTCAAGAGCAACCTAAAAAGCCTGAGAGAAAGTCCAACAAACGACGGAAAGCGCAAGAAAGAAAAGGGGGGGCAGGGAGGGGGTGTATGTCCATGTGTGTGTGTGTGTGTACGTGTGTGTGTGTGTTTGAATACCTAGCCCTCTAGGATTACTGACTACTTAGCCGAAACTAATTAAAGCCGTTTTTAAGCCCGGCGGCTGGTAAATTCGTTTTATAGCCCGACGGCTGTATGAGCAGTGAATTCAGGGTAGAGAAAGATCAAAGAAGGAAAGTCAGTGAAGGGGAAGAGTCAGTGGCTCAATTTCCAGCATGAAAACAGCGCCTCCTTGCGGAGGACCCAGCGCCCAAGTGGGACGGCTGAGCGGCTCACACTTCGACATTGGTTTTCAGTTAGTTCAATTGCCACGATGGGAAGGAAGGTGATGGAACAGCAAGGCGAATGAGTCTGCGCAACAGTATTGTTGAAAAATGTTTCCGAAAGCGTTCAAAACAAATGACGTTCAGCAGTAGCTGCGATGCGGAGGCAAATGGTTTGTGGGAGGTATCATGAACAACCATGGAAGCAAAAAGTCGACTTGGACAGCGTAGTCAAAAGTTCCTTGGCAGGTACAAGAGCCGGCGTCCCAGCTCTCTTCCAACTGATTTCCGTAGCTTCGTTGGCACGGATGGGTAATCAGTCTCCGTGCCCCCTGCTTGGAATCACTAATCAGAACCCTTTGAAACAGGGGTTGACACACACACACACGCGCACAGAGAAGACCGGGTTTGCTTCGGATTTTGTGGCAGGTGCAATACTTAGGATATGCTGGTGATGTCAGTGATGTTTTAAAAGCTCAGATTCCGCTGCTGGACGTAGTGAATCGTTATGTATATTGGGCTTACTTTTGCGGAAACGATCGGAAAATAATTTCGTTTCAAAGTTTGTGGCAGACGCATTTCGTGGTGGTCGAAGTGCAGATTTCGTGGCACCACCGGGGCCCGCACCGCGAACCATCACTGCCATTCCTCCACCGCCTCCACCATACCACCACATCCTTTACCACCACCAGCTCCACCTCCGCCACCGTCCCACAAATTGATTGAGATCTCTTTTCAGGGATAGAGTTGGTTATGTTTGATGATTGCCCAAGTAAGTGGTTCCTTCGAAACTACCCATGAATTCACTCGCAATCTTCCGATTTGTACTGATCATGCGCAGCGTGGGCAGGTGCCAAGCTGGCTACGGCCGTCGCAGAGAAGATCCATTTCAGTGCAAAGCATGCGGTGAAATACCGTGGCTTTCCTGGGTGACCTACGTGGTGAAACCTTTGGGAATCTACCTGGTCAGCCTGTGGACGGCACATAAGAAAAGGGACCGGACCGCTTCTCTTCTAAAGATTTGGATGGCATTTGGCATCGTCATGGCATCCATTTCGCCCAGCATTAAATCCTCTGATACGTTTGCAAAAATACACACTTCATTGGTGCAATCTGTGGAAGCAGGCCTGGAAGCCTTTTCCATGAAATTACAGTATGTTGCAGTACGCATTTTAGAATTACCAAAACGGTTTGCACCTTTCTTTCAATATATGTATATATATTATAGATATAATTGTTAAATCTTGCAATATAGACACCAATTGCGCGTGCTCTGGTAAGCGTGTGTTTGTGCAGTTCAGGTGAAGGTGCAGCTTCCCTTGCCACCCAAATGACTGGTGCCAGCTTTGATTGCTTGCTGGACAACCCACATGCTTCGATGACAGCCTGGTTGGGCCTATCATTTGCTCCACCTTTGGTCTTGTGGCTTCTGACAATGATCTATGTGGTCGGTCGCTCCATGAGCGCAGGGTCAGGGATGGTGAGCGCACTGACCAAGGACGCTCTAAAGGTGACCATTGTGAGCACCAATTGCTTCCTGCCAGACATGGTGGCAGCTTTGGTGCGCTTCGTCCCGTGCATCCATTTCCAAGTCTTTGATCAAAGCAAGCAGTATTTGCAATTCAACGTGGAGACTCAGTGCAGCCAGGTCGTTGGAATGAGGCTTGCAGCGGTTTTTGCCGCCATCCTTCTTGGCACTGTGTTAGGTCCTGTGTATTGGGTGGCCGTCATCATGAAGTCCAAGCAATGGGAAGATCGTGAGGAGGTGCTGGGTTTTCTCATCTCTCATTATCGGGACAAGGCGCTGTTGGCACATGTTGTCATTGTTTGTGCTTTTATAAAAAGAAAAACATGCTGCTGCTGCTTGATTGCTTGTATATATATATATATAGTCTAGTCGTAGTTTTGCGTTCATTTTGCTTTTGGCAATGAAGATGCTGTCACTGCGCAAAGCTGCTGGTCGGACAATATGTTCATGCCACATTTGAAGTGCTTTAGGTACGCTGGTGGGAAGCTACCGTTCTTATTCGCAAATGTGCATTGGCTGTAGCCGTTACCCTATTTTCTGCAAGTTATGCACCCATGCTCTACCTTTCTTCCATACTCCTTATTGTTGCTCAGCTCGCACTTGTGTATTCGTTGGCGAGGAATTTTGCCTTACTTCACACAGCTCCATTTTGGGGTCAAATTGAAGAACGTAGCAACGCATTTGCCGGAAGTTGCATGCTGAGGTTGGCCTTGGCCTTGCATGTCACTCATACGTGCTTCCTTATGACGACAGTTTCTTGAACCGGCTCGAGTTTGGCACCCTCATGGCATCATTCATAGCTGTTCCTCCGGCCGCAACAACGTAGTCCACGTCCTGTAGACAGAACTTCATAGCATGCATGAGGCATCCTTCATTGAGGCCCTTGGCGGCCCGAACTTGGGAGAACTCTCTATATAGATTATAGATACTTATGATACTTAATCTTTTGGTTTGTTCAGTAAGAGCAATATTGGAGCCGTGAGAAGTCTTGGCAGCCCTCCTTTGAACAACCTGAGCTTGGCATGTTGAGGTCTTTTGCACATTCCTTCTGCAGCTGGAAATGGTTTCTTGGGCCGTCGATGATACAGTCGCTTGCCAGAGGTACACTTTGCACCTTTGAACTCGAGTGCCATGATTGTCATTGCCCCTCGCGTGGATTGTTTGTCCGAGGTCACTATTCCTGCAGGTGTGATCCTAGTTCTCGTGGGCACGGTACCTTCCCTGGGCCTCATGGTGTTGTATTTCATGGAGATCAGGCCGGACTGTTTCTTGATGAGCTGGATACCTTTCGATTGTGGTTGTATTTTGCAGTTTTCAGGGCGCTCATTTTGCGAGATTCTGGATATTCCAAGTCCTTCAATGTCCAAGGTATCAAACACTTCGCGCAATCAGTTTCCACTCTTGAGCTTTGTTGCCACAATGTCATTCCATAGAGAGCCTTGAGGTCATTTGGGCTTCAGAGACTGACATCCCTCGCCGATCAAGTCAAATCGGCCGTTGCCCGTGATGATCCAGATTGAGGTTGCGTTGGGGGCAATATGCACACCTTTGCCTCAACAAGCCTTGCCCTCCTCAGAAAAGAGCGGGTGCTAACTCTGTGTCAAGTTACTCGTTTGGTTCTTGTTATCAACATTATCATTGTCAAAAGGGTTCAGTTCAAGCATAATGAGCCGGCTGATGACTACCTGACTACCTTTTCTAGATAAAGTCGAGTCGGCTCTTCCAATCCTGGGCCTGAAAGAGGTCGTTTGCCCAGCCACTTCTTGGTCGGGCTTAAGCTATATCGATTTGGCCAACGCTTCTGCCTCAAAAAGTCGCCAAAGGCCAATATGCAGGATAAACATGATCCATAGTGCGTGTTTCAAGCCATGACACCAATCCATAGGCCCTCATTGGGAATCCTGTAGAAAGTCTTTAGCCACAGCAGCAAGCGCATGGCGCTGCTTTGGTGCTTCTGCAGATGCTGTCGGCTCATGGTGCGTTGGGGAGATTCTTGGTTGAGAGAGTTTCAGATGTTGCTTCATCTGCCATGAATGAAGAGTGGTCGAAATCCCAAACTCTGCGTCTCCCCATGCCTGCACACAGGCGTCTCTTTGTAGGGACTGATTCTTTGCGTTTCTGCATTCTTTGGCCCGCTGGCCCAAAGACCTTGTTCTTGGCTGCAGGTCTGGTGTGATATGACTTCTTGATTCCATAGAGCTGCCAGAAGATCAGTCTCAGGATGTGGGGAGGCTGAGGGGCAAGTGCCTGCAGTTTTGGGTTTCAAGGGATCAAGAACTACTTGGCAAATCATGACCTAGTCACCTGAGTCCCTTTGTAGCCACTGCCCACCCGCCAGGCAGCAGAATCACTCATTTTGGATGGCAAATACACAAAATCAACTACAGCCAGATAGAACGTTGAGACCAGTTGCATGGTCTACTCACATGGTTGGTTGGGATCGGATAACTTACACACAGTTTTCACTGTCCGTTGAGATGTGCAAGACTCTGCTGTTCCAGGACGGCGATCTATTTTTGACTGGTCTCTCACGAGCCAGTTCAATAGTTGACCCAGACCAAGACATAGGGAGATGGGCAAGACTTGGCTGATGTGCGGGGGTTCGTACGTACCACCATTTAAGATGCACAAGAGGCAGGACACAACATCCTGCCGGGCCGGGAGCCGAACGCGTTTGAACCGCATGCATTTCACAACAGGATGAGGTGACTGAATGCTGTACAACTTCCATATGTTTGAGCCGAAGGGTGTTTGTACAAATTGCACTGCATTTAATAGGAGAAATAATATACTTTGTTGCGCTTTAGTGTTCCGTTTCGTGGGTGTGTGTTTTAACGCAACATGCGTGCACCATAAGAACGGACGGGCAACACTCACACTTTTGATCTGAAACATGATACTGTAAAGGTTAGGAACTGGAAGTATTGATAAAATGAGTACCACTCCGTGCTCGGTTTCTGACCCGGTGGCACAAGCATGTGAAGTTGAAGGGTTGGAACATGCTGTGGAACCGATGTGTTTCCGCATCCTTTCTTGCTGCTACTTAATCAGAGTAGTTCAACCCCCCCAAGTCTTGGTTCTGCTTATGTACCCGTTTTTTGCATAAAGGAAGCCTGTTGGATCATTTGGGAACTACCAACTTGTGTGCCCCCAAGTCTTGGATCTGTGCGAGTCTTGGATCATGAATCCTTGCATGGCGCCACTCCGAGGAGAGGATGAAGCATCCTGTGCCACTCCGAGGCCGACCAATGGTCAGAATTTTCTTCTCGTTGATCGGAGTTGATCGGGGTTGAACAGGGTCTTCCTCATTAATCCAAACTCTCACGGTCTAAACTTAATCCGACCCTATAGAAGTGATTTCCGAATCTCAGTATTCGCAGTCTCGGCTCACCGGATTAAGCAAACGTCCCAGACCTACATTCAAATTACAGTACATATAAAGCGTTATCACAGCACTTTGAGTCTTTTTCTCTGCTCTCAAATTTTTAATCTGCACATCTGGAGCTGGTTGGCAGGATCTCATGCAAAGCTGGGGTAGACAAGTGAAGCGACAGAAGAGCAGTTTGGACCTCGCGTATGCTGGAGGAGTCTTGGACACGTTGGTTGGATCCCCTTGTTCTGTTTGATTGACTCTTGCGCCTGGATGCTCGTTGTGGCTGGAGCATCGCAGGATGTGGAATTCAAGAAGAAGCAGGTGCGCAGTGCTATCGTTGGACAGGGCCCAATGCTGACGAGAGGACCTTCGGACACGTACCACCTCGACATTCTTTTTTGATCTTTTTTGCAGAATGCGCACAAATGAAATAGGGATTGATCATGGAGCGATGGGTTTTGGTGTAGAGCGGGGTCAAAAATCTACACTCGCTCAAGAGAATCAGCCAAGTTGTGCAGATGTCAACAAGCCCTCTCGATGGGTGGACAGGGACCGAGGAGTTCATAGACGGATCCCAGATTCTGTGGCGGCTTTGACATGCTACAGACCCTAGAGCCAGAAGACATGAAGGCCATGGCAGCTGCAGCTCAGGCGGGTGCTTCAGTTTGCACATTTGCACGGGAGGAGGGCTGCAGCGAATCTCCATGGTCTTTGCTTTGGCTTTCGGTTCACATTCGCAACGAAACAAGTGCTGCTTTCCCAGTCACAGGCACAAGCGTTTTGCTAAATTCAACCCTGGGTTTAGCAAAATTACAGTAGAGTTAGAGGGGAGACCTTGGTATCTGGCTGCAACATTCTGCAACTATTCTATGTCGTAGGGCTTTTGCATTGCAACCGACGATCAGGACATGAGAAAGAAGAAGCAGGGAGCCTCAATGTGGGCTCGTGGACGTGAGCCTCGTGTGGTGAAATTCCAGCTGTTGTCTGTGGTCTCCATGGCATTTGCAAACGCTGAAAGCTTGGTGGGATTTTTTCTGAAGTCCTTAAAACCTACAGTACCAGGTTTTCCTGAGAAACAGGCAAGCTCACAGGGTTTACAGCAAATTGGAGGGCACTTGAGTCAACGCGAGTCCAATCTTGTTGCTGGGAAGCTATTCCGCCTTTTTTGGGATTGATGATTTCGAGCAATCTCTGCACCTGTAGACTAGAGTGTGAAATTCAAATTGATGAGGTCCCCCCAAGTGGTTGATGGGTCGGTTAACTAGTTCTTTCCCTCCCAAAGGGCTCGGGGGGCAGAAAGTCCGAACCGCCTCAAGGAGTGCGAAAGTGGAAGACCATGATGGTTTCCCACCACCACGAAACAAACCGAAGAGGACGGGAAGATGGACCATGCTAGACCCAGGGCGGGTCCGACTCTACATGACCCTACTGAGCACCGCAGAAGGGAATCATAACATGCTTGGAAGATCTCAGACTTGATTTTGGAAAAACCTTTTAAACACTGGTTACAGTATGTGGATCGTGTCGACTATAATGTTCTTGGGGAGAAAAGCAGGTAGGTGGCTTTCTTGAAAAGGTCCAAGGGAAGGTCACCAGAATCTGCAGCTGCGCTTCCCCAAGATCTTCTCTTGCAACTCAGACAGTAGCAAAATGTGGCAAAGCACAGAACATGTGGTGATGAATTGTTGGTCATGTTAGGCGCAAAGCTTCAATGACCGCACCGGATGCCAATCGGATCTATATAGATATATATCAAAAAGTTATTAACATTTATTGACTCCCGCCAAAATGAATTGTTTTCTGCGAACGATGCCCCAACCTGGCGCTGGATCTGCAGCCCCGGTGGGTCACTTGGCAACCGTTGCGGGAGCGTGTGGGTTGTGAGTACTGGGTACCTTGGAAATGGCTTAGCCGGCGAGTTTTGGGATGGACAAATGGCAAATGGGGATTTGTGAGGTATCTCCCAAGTACAGGAAATTGGGGAGTCAAAGTCTGGTTTTGTGATGCTCGGAACACCTAGCCGCTCTTCTTCACTGTTTAGAAGTCTTGGTGAGTCCAAATACATGTTTTACATGTCTTGATATTATCATATATCATATCATATCATCACCAATTGTCTTTTTAATCATGTATACGTACTGTATTCTACAGATTTGACAGCATGCCTGCCAAGGCCTTCCTCAGATCAACACCCAAAGTACCCCTTCAAGCTGCCGAATCCTGGCCCATGTGAAGCTATGCGTGAGGGCTCACTCTTGAGAACTGGCATACTGCAGCTCAGTCCATCTTGAGCAGAATTGTCTTTTGTCTGTTCAGAATTGTTCTGGGTACGGCGAGGCCAGCTTTGCAAATTTCAACCCCCTTTAGAGGAATGCGCAGACAGCCACACATAGCGAGCAGACATGTAGCAGCATCCTGATTCTTTTGCCATACCATAATTGTTAATCCATTCAAGTATGTGTTTGATGCAATTTCATCCATGTTTGGCTTACTGAAGTTAGAACTGGCCCCACGTCATTCTTTTGCACCAGTGCCGTGGTGTGATGCCAAGGTGCCTTGGTGCCTTGAGGTTTGCTGCGTCGGAGCACTTTCCCATCCTCAAGCGCCTCAAAACGTCCTCGCCCAAAGTCAGGGAGAACCTCCTCCAGTTCGAGTACTGTTTCCCTGACACGTCGCTAGGCGGAGCAGTCGACCTTAACCTGAGGGGTTGCAGGGGTTTGCGGGGACAAGACAGATTTTCGTGGTGTATGTTGGTGTCATCAGACAGATAGTTCATTACTGGTTTCTGACTTAGTGTGAGATATATAGGCCCTGTGTGATTGTTCTGTATCTTTGACACATGACATATCCAACCGTTGTGAGCATTGGAGCAGGCCTCAAAAAAACTCCTACAATCTGTTTAGTAATGACACCCATCTTCCAGGTATCCTGTGGGCTATAGCAAGTGTTGCCGGGACCCCAACACTTCATGGTACAAGTCCAATTTGGCCACCTTGTGCTGGAACTCAGACAGCCCCTTGACCTATGAGCGCTGCTGTATCTTTCACTATGGACCAACGTTGCGTGGTTTGCCCTACGGGTCAGATTCCCTGACCGACTTCGACGTGCCGGTAGCTGGTCGTCTTCGCTTACGCTCCTTGTTGTCTGTCTGGCCCGGCGCGTGGATCTGCGCCCGCTTGCTGGTGGACGTGGCGGCCGTGGTGCGGCACGCGGAGGCCTTCGACTGGCCCGAGGGGGCGCAGCTCCTGCGGCCGCTGCTGGGGCGGAGGCTAAGGGTTTTGGACGTGAGCTGTGGGGCGGGTTTGAGCTCCATCGCGGCCGCGCGCGCGGGGCACAACGTCACGGCCACGGAGGTGTCTTCGGAGTTGCTGGAGATGGTCAGGGAGAATGCGCGGAGGAATCGCGCCAAGGTGCGACTGCTGCAGTGGGATTTGTTGGAGGGAGTGCCCCAGAAGTTGCTGGAGCCTGGGGGCAACGGGTACGACCTTTGCTTTTTGGATCTGTCATGGACGAATTTGAAGCGACGGGAGGAGCAGCATGGCCTGACTTTTCAGCAGAAGTGGCCTTCACTGGAGGAGCTGCTTCTCAAGGCCAGCGAGAGCTTTCAGCAAATGGGTGGCTGCCGACTCCATGTTTTCATCGGAAGGACCAAAGAGGACCATTTCGTGCTCCTGGAACATGCTGCACTCCAGTATGCAGAGTACACCAAGGAACTTCTAGGCGCCGGGGCACGGTGCACCACAAAACAGCTATCAAAAAGCAGGTCCCAAAGCAGGGCTATTCCACCATTGTTCCCCTCTAAAGGCTTAACGTTTGGTCTTCTGAGTTGGTTTAACCACCAGTTTGGGGACCCGCTATGGAACGCCCTATTGGATAAAATACTCCTATAATATCACATATATATATATATATACACACTTCTCGTGCAACGAGTCGTTCAGTCGATGTTTCCACGCTTCCTGACTCCCTTCCAAGGTGCCCTAGAACGTGTGGGACATATTTTTGGCACCCTGGCTGGCCCGCGAGTGCCCATGGTGAGTCCTCTTAGCTTCCTCCTGCAGATTGGGTGGACACCCCCCATCTGGCATCACCTCATCCTGTGGTGAAAAGACACTGCCCAGCTGTGCCGTGTTGTCATTTTTTACCCAAACCTACTCCCTGCAACAGCTGTGGTCCTGTAGCCACTCAAAAGAAATCAACTGAGGCAGAGAAGTTGCATTTGTACTACCAGCTAGAAAACGCAAAACAGCAATACCTGCTCATGATTCCAGGCTGTCCGCATCCACGCTCCACGCACGCTCCTTTCACTGAAGGACTCTACAACGGATGACTGGACGTGAGCCGAAGCAGATGTGATGCCCTGGAATTCTCGCCATTTCAGACCGGCGGGCCGAACGCGTCCACCGGCAGGCACACAGACTTGAACAGCAGGAAAAAGTGGATATGCAGACCGCATCCTGAGTGCCCTGTAGATGGAATCAAAGGTTTCCTTTAACTCTCCGAGCGAACCGGAAGCCCCACGGTCACCGATTTGTGTGAATGATAAATGGACACTCAAGAATGCAAGAACACTAGAGATGCGAAGAGGTGAAGAATTTGAGAGAGTAGAAAAGGCCTGACCCAAAGTGAAATCAATTTGATTTCGTTTGCCGCAGTTTTAACAACAAAACGTGGTAAACTGTGCAACCCAAACAGGGACAAGACTCTACAGTCTGAGATTTTCCTGGTCCATGCAATTGTAAGGAAATCCATTGTGCTGTGTGCTGCTACTTTGTTGCTGCTGCCAAGAAGGTCTATGAGGTTGAAGCTGTCTACTAATCAATAAGACAGGCAAACTGAGCAATTTTGCAGTTCAAGTTCAAGTTCAAAAGCGGGTTGATGCGTCCACAAATGTTGGTTTCAACTTGGACGCGCAATCAGATAGGACATTATATAAAGCAGTTTGTAGTCAGCCACCGTGTTTTGTTCCATATGCCTTTTTGCGTTTGTAGTTCTAAGTTGGTTTCTACTTTGTCGCCGAATGCGTTGCAGTCAGCCTGCTAGGGTCACATTGGTTCAACATGGGCATGACCGATGTGTTGGTGTTGAGGCACTGCTGAATAGAATGACACGTGAGGCACTGCTGAGTGTTGCTGTGCTTTTTCGTGCGAACGCTGGCAACGCGTTTCGCAATGCAACCACCATTTTTGTTTGGTGTTTTTTTTGAATCCCAGATGTCGGTCGGTGATGCGCTGAACGTGTGAGATCGATGTTTCTTCAAAGGACAAGAGCTCGGATTTTGGTTCAAGAGCAAGAAACTCGTTGGCAGTCCGCCTGCCAGGTTTTTTGCCACCATGCATTGTAATGTAACAGAGCAGAATGTTTCTCTGTATGTTACTTCGCCCTTCATCGTCCACGAAGTGATCCACCAACGGTGCTTGCTTCGTCTCGGTGATGAACATGCAGCAAGCTACAACCGTGCTATCCAGGCTGAGTTGCTGCAATCTAAGGTCATCAATGGTGCATCAAGAATCATGAACATGAAGGATGAGCAGATCAGGGATGAGCCTGTCGACCGCATGCGCTCTGCAATCAAATCGTCGCAATATGACTTGATTGTGCACCCTGTGGCATCTTTCAGTGACGCTGGTGCCGAGTACCAGGCCCAGTGGGATGCACTGCACCTCAACCAAGGTCAGTACATGGTAAAAGTTATCACGGGAAGCAAGGCTCTTCGCCCTCATCTGCTCACAAAGGCGATCTTCTGCCGCTACGTGCTGTCTCGGATGTTGGGGCAGGAGACCTGCCACATTGCCCTGACATAGATAATGCTCATGCCAAGCCACTTTATTTGTGCCATGAGTCTCATGTTTGCAGTGTGACACACACACACAAAAAAAAAAAACAAAGCATTGGTTTGGCCAAATATTCGTTTCACTTTCTGCTAGCCCACCATTGATCTGTCTTCCCAGAAGGATGGCAGCTCCAAGCTCGGCAACTCAGTCGTCATCGTTCTGGGAGACGGCACCGAGATCTCCTTCGACCACAGTCATTTGGTGGACACCTTCAACCGATGCATGACTCATGACCCTCCAAATAAGTCTCTACACTCACACTCCTCTATATCTCAATCTTCCCTTCCAATGATGCTCCATTCTTTTTTGCCAGGAAAGCAGGAGATAATAGGAAAAGTCGAGAAAACGGTGTAAAGCTTTACGAACGATTTGGCAATCAGCCTCCGGGAGCAACAATACCAACCTGCGAATGTCCAAGGTGAGCAAGTGATCAAAACACAGTGTGATGGTCTCGTGCAGCTAATGCTTCTTGGATGGAAACTGAGGCGAACAATCGTGAGAGCACCATTGGGTGGGCTTAGACATATGGGCTCTCTACAGTCAAGGGTCCCTGGTTTGCTATTGAAGAAACCAGATGAAGCCAAGGTGTTTCGTGTTTTGTCATATTTAGAATATGATTCTACTGATGCTTTTGTTGCCTCAAAACCCTTATGAACTGGGTAGGGTGTGTATATGCCCCACGTGATCTGGTTACGTTCGTCGACCTAGGAAGAGTGGGCAGGTGCCAAAGCCGACGGCACAAGACCTGAGATTGCACCCAACATTCGCAGAGGTGGCTTTTAGGCGGGGAGTGAAAGATTATGGGATGAAGGACTTGTAAGACCTTTGTTGCGGCCCAGAAAGCTGCAGTGGAGTGTCATTTCGCGGGGCGGGTGACAGTGTTTTGTGATATTGATAGGTGGTAATATCCAAGGAAAGTGAGGCGTTCTGCACTCGATACAAGATACAAGAGTAAGTGATCTCTTCACCGGCTGCCATTCACCAGCAAGGCATGTGAGGCCACTAGGCATGTGCATGTGAGTGAGTCCGTGTGAGTCATTCCTTGCGGTTGCACCTTGCCCCATACGCCCTGGTGAGGCATCTTCTCAAAGAGCACAGCCTTGAATTGATTCCTCTGAAGCCTGGCCAGAAGAGGGCCCTTTGTACCTGGCTTCGCAAGGAGAAGCGTGAACCACAATTGTTGCTGCTACCAACCATGGTTTGAGTTGGAGCCCTCCATCTTTGGACAGTGACCTACGGTACACAGCCCTGCAATTTGCGTATAGGGCGCAGTATCCCACTCCCGGGGAGTGACGGCCATGACCACCAGACCCCAAAATTGCAACATGCCGGGGAGTGGATGGGCAACTCTGACTTGGTCAGTTTGGGTTGACAAGGCTTTTTGATTGTGTTTGATTAGGGATTAATTTATTGCGACTGCACAGGGGGCCACGCTAAATCTCCGGACCCACCCAGTTGACCCGGTTACCGGTTGACCCAGTTGACCTCAACTGGGTCAACCGGGTCAACTGGGTCCGGAGACTTAGCGTGGGCACCGGGTCAACTGGGTCCACCGCCACCACGACGACGACGACGACTACTACTACTACTACTACTTCTACTACTCGGTCAACTGGGGTCAACTGGGTCAACTGGGGTCAACTGGGTCGACTGGGGTCGACTGGGCCAACTGGGGTCAACTGGGTCCGGAGATATAGCGCGGCCCGGGTCAACTGGGTCAACTAACCCTCAGTTCAACGACGGTCCAAGCCAGGGATCAGGTGCAAACAGGTGGACTTGTGGATTTTTTCCAGGTCCAAAGCAGGGATCAGGTGCTTCGCGTTCGATCGTCACAGTCTATCCACTAAACCACCCACAACTAAGTCAACTCATCCATAGAATTCTGGAACCTGAGTAAGTGACCTGTACTGTATTTTAGATCAACACCAACCATCCCCATCTGTGGCAACATGGAGCCAACATCAGACATTCCGTGTAGAGCTTGACTCGGAACCTTACTTGTTCAAGTTCAACAACGGTCTCCATCACAACCTCGGTTGATCCGGCTTGATCCACTTCAGAAGCCAACAGTTTTTGGACCGCTTCTTCCTGCGGGTCAAGAGATAGCTCTAGATCTATCGACGACCTGTGAGCAAGCGAGCGGGTGATGTAAAACTACTAAAAGAAAGCTAGAAACCAAGATCAACACAAGACATCTTGTGTTGAGCTTGGTTGGGACTCCCTCTTCCATCGAGTCGACCATGGCCGCATAAACAACATTGATATATAAAAAACATATCCCAACCATTGGAAACCAAGCTCAGCGCCAGGTGTCCCGTGTTGAGGCAGTTGCTGCCTCCATCAGAACCTCAGTAGAAAACAAACGCATAAACAACAATAATGAGTTGTGAAAACACAATCTACCACATAGAAACCACACTGCACACCAGGCATCCCACGTTGAGGTTGATTGGTGATCTTTCCTGATCCAGTTCAGACAATGCCTCTATCACAACCAGTAGTAGCAGTGGACCCAGTCGACCCCAGTTGACCCACTTGACCCAATTGACACGTAGTAGTAGCAGTACAGTAGTAGTCGTGGTGGTCGAATTGACCAGGTGGCCACGCTAAATCTTCGGACCCACCCCAATTAACCGAGTTGACCCAGATGACACGTAGTAGTAGCAGTGGTAGCGGTCGCAGTGGTCGACTTGACCAGGCGGCCACGCTAAATCCTCGGACCCAGTTGACCCCAGTTGACCCCAATTGACCCAGTTGACGCGTAGTAGTAGCAGTGGTAGTGGTCGCAGTGGTCGACTTGACCAGGCGGCCACACTACAGTAAATCTCCGGACCCAGTTGACCCAGTTGAGGTCAATTGGGTCAACTGGGTCAATTGGGTCAACCGGGGTCAACTGGGTCAACTGGGACACCCTGTTCAATTGGGTCAACTGGGGCCACAGATTTAGCGGCCCCCTGTGCCGACGCACTCGATTAATTTGATTATAGAGTTTTGAACGTCACCTCGGCCGCTTGTCGAGGCAAACGAGGAATCGACTCTTTGACCTCTCTACGACGTGCCACCTTTGACCAAGTGAAAGACTTCATGTCAGAACAGGCTGCGTTGGTGTTTGGGAAGACGCGAATTTGTGAGATTTCCAGGACAAATAAAGAACATTGAAATTCTATAAGTCGTAGCCCACCTGGCCTGTTCAGTTCCAAGCGCTTGGTTGGAGGTCTTTCTCAAAGTGCGCCGACATGCAAAGCTCCTTGCTGATGAGACCAAGGACTTGCATCGTGATCGGACGTAAACATGGTGTTGTAAGCTGAAGCTACGAGGGTAGCAGCAGCCAAACAGTACGGCTCTTAAATCGAAGGAGTTCTGACACACGTGCTTCATGTGTGAAGCAGTGGTATGTGTGGGCACTGGTTGAGTGATTTCAATGTCGGGTTAGCGGCACAAGAGACGTATCTCCTTGCATCAGTCGTTGCTTCCAACACTGCATGCTTTTCATTTGTGATATGCTGCACATGCCTCACGGGGCTGTCCAGGACTTTTGTATGGCTTCGGTCGACCAGCCTTTGCTCCTTGCGCCCGCAGCGTTTATTGTGGTGGACTTGGTGGAGGGGACAGAGCCGTTGCTGAATTCCTTTGTGGTGAGAAGTTCCGAGTGTGGCGTCTTTCATACTGGCCAAATGCAAGAGTTCGTGCAGAAGATTGCGAGCCATCAGGCAAAGCCGACAATGGTTGGATGGCCAGCTGGACGTGAAACCTTTGGTCGGCACAACGAACACAACCGAAACCCCTGATGTTTTTGGGATCACCGGATCATCCCACATCTTTGAAGAACTGACTTAGAGAGACCAGACTCTATCCTTTTGTCTTCCAAGCTTTTGCAGGTCTACTTCTTTGGCGCAGAGGTCTGGGACAAGGTGCTGCTGTCGTGTCTGGCCCTCGGGCGAGCAGACCTGGCTGGGCGAGTGCTGCAGGAGGTCTACGAGGGGAAATGGGTCGACTTGAAGGTGAGGCTGGACGACATCGTCTGCAACAAGACTGGAGACAGCTTCGAGGCGAGGTCAAACTTGTGTGGTCAAACTGGAGGTTCGTTCTGCATAGACTGCGTGGATTAGGCTGAACGCAGTGATACGAGGCCTCGGTAAACGGGCTATAGCCAGGTTTGGAGGTGCTAAAGCTGAGCACAGTTATATAAGTTATAAGTTGTGTCTTTAAAGGGACAGTTTGCCTCTGAACGCTCTCGATATTGGAGCCATCGCCTACTCAAACGATGGTAACATGCGAGTGGGCATCAGTGCACTAGCTTTCAACTTGTTAGCCAGATGCAAAGGGTTTGCATGCTGAATACGGTGTTGCAACTGCCGCTGTGTGGGAAGGACTACTATGTGGCCCTGCTGGGGAAGGATTCTTGTGGCGACCTGAGGAGCTTCCAGACATTGCCTCAGCTCCTAGAAGTCTCGCGGAGCTCAGTGCTTCCTCAACGGCAACGGCGCGAGGCGGAGGAGAGGTTTCGGACCTTGGTGAGTGGGAAGACACACGCATTACAACAGCTTGGGCAGTGGATTCAAAGAAATGTGCCATCCCAATACATGGTGAAGCGGAGTGCATTTGTACAAGATTTGCTAGTGCTTTGCACACGATTCCTGGGTATGGCAAGGAATCCAGGTTGGCCGGAAGAGGTTTGGAATGTGGCGAAGAAGTGGCCAGACTTCTACAAGCAGGAGCTCTTTTGGCGCCTTGTGGACACGATCGAGCTCTTCAATGCATCGGAAGATGAGTGGACAGAGCATGTGCTTTGCTTGTCGAGGCTGAAGCGAGCCCAGCTCAACCCTAGGACAGCTACTGAGAGGATGAATGGCCGATTCTTGACGCGATCCTTGCGTTTAGAATATGACTGGAACGTAACTCAAGAGACGACCATCAAAGAGAAAGATGAGGTTTTTGTACGCGAGGATGCAACCCTGCGTGGTAAAGTGGAGAAGATTGACAATTCGGGTGCTGGACGTTTGTCAAAGGTCACTCTTCTCTTTGACACAAGCTTCGGCAAGAATCCGAATCTTGACAATCTTCTCGGTCCATCATTGGAACGCATCTCAATCATGCAAGCCCAGTTTGCCATGGTCGGTGGGGAGTCTTGGCGAACGTTCGCCGTCGGCATAGAGGTGGGGCAGATGGCCGCAAGCGATTCATCAGTTCATCAGTTCATTCGTTCTCAAGCGCGGAAACCCTATAAGACATGTTTGAACATATTTGCTTTGTGGGCTCAAATTCGCTTTGTTTGACATTTTAAACTGGTTCTTCAGAAGGCCTTGTTTTGCTGAGGAGAACATCATGACCAAAGCAGTAGAGCAGCGCTTAGCCTCAATTATTGCGACGCCTTGGATGATGTTGAAGCAGAGCTTCCGGAACTTTCTGCAGAGGAAACCAGTGAGCCAAACGCCTGTAGAGGAGTGCAGGGCTAAGGACACTGTGTGCAACCTGACGGAGGACTACCTGATTATCCAGGGACCGCCAGGCACTGGCAAGACGTGGCTAGGCATGGCAAGCCAGTTGGTTGGGCTGCGCGGGATTTGGGCCTTCATGAATGATGTCTCTTCCACGCCATGCTCTTTCAATTGAATCGTACAAAGAATTGTTACTGTCGCTACTCTGTGGTTAACGCCACTATCACCAGTCACTCATGACCCCGCACTTTTGGATCCTTTTCGATCTGTATATAGCATGTGAGAGTCCCGCAAAACACAAGTGCACTATGTGAAAGGCCCGCCCTCCAAGGCCTTGTATCACAGTGTTCGACTCCCAAAGCCCCACGGGTTGAGGTATACCTCTGCAAAGATCATCCAGCGGTTGCTGCAGCAGCTTCCATCACGAGTAATTGTCTCTTCCAACAGTCATCGGGCCATCAGGAACTTGCTCAGCATCTGGGCAGCAACAGTCCCCATGGATTTGGAAGTGGTTGTAGAACGGGCCGGTGTTCTGGAGTATGAGTCTGTATCATTCGCCTTTCCGTCCACGGCTTAATGCATCAACATGCCATCTCTCTAATCAAGGTGCCCAAAGGCCCAAAAAGTTTCTGACTTCGACCTATTTGGATCTTTAGGATTCTCTTTGTCAACCTGTGATGCCACGATCCATGGATTCGATTTCTCCACGCGATGCCGTTGCATCCCAAGGCACCATCAGTAGCTTCAATGTGCCAGTGGCAAAGGTCTTGGGCAACGATGAGACCCATGCAGAGCTCCGAGCCGAGGGCATCGATGCGGTGGAGAACGCGCGGGGAATTTGACCCTTGGTTCCCAAGAGTTGTGGTGGGGAGGGGAACTGGATCAGAAGTTGCCAAGTCTCCAAGTTCCCTTCTGTGCATCTGGAGACGACTGGACGACTGCCCGAAATAAGGGAATGGTTTCAGGATGTTTGATGCCTAGAAGTCCCGCCTGAGGCTTTCCTTCACACTGCCGGGTGCTAGGGGGTACGGCCTCACAACTGATGAAGCTTGCGGGAGACTCGGACTATCTCTTTGTGGACGAGGCCGGACAGGTTACGCTCGAGCTCTTGGCAGTGTTAGGGCAATTGGCGCGGAATTTGGTTTTGGAGCCTTGGCGAGGAGATATGGCTTCAGTGGTGGTGGTGGTGGAAGAAACCTTGAGATATTGTTAATGAATTAGTTTGTTTCAGTGGTTCTGTCCAGCGCCCAGCAAGTTGCCAAGGTAGGAGATCAGCAACAGCTTCCACCTCCCGTTGGACCAAAGTTGTTGTTGACCAAGGGCGGCGGTGTCAGCTGCTTGGACTACTTTTCTCAAGGAGATGCTGTCATCAACAGCAGCTGTGGGATCTTCTTGCCCACCACTTATCGCATGAGTGATCGCTTGACTCAGGCCAGGCAGAGCGAATTGCGAACTTGGAAGTTGCAGGTGAAATTCTTTGAGAATTCTAGTTTCTATTTTCAATCTTTTATCTTTTTCCAACCTAGCACCCATGACCTGCAAGCTTGGCCAGATGGTCTTAGCAGCTGAGAGAGAGAGAGAGAGAGAGTTAGTTCCGTGCGCACAGCCGCGCGTTTTCCCATACCGTGCCCACATCTGCGATGTTCCCCGTTCATAAACTTCGTTGCATGGTCAAGTCAGGATCGTTCCACACGAGTGGTACTTTCCTGCATAGATGCATATAGAAATTAGAAAATCATCGCAAGACCATTTTCCTCTACCAAGAAGGGTCATGATCCTCTACCGAGAAGGGTAATGACTCACCGACATAATCGACTCGTCAGAATTGGATCTTGCCAGGTCATAAGCAGCAACTTCTATGACAAGGGTCTCAGCGCGTTCCATCGCAACGCAGGGAATCGATTGATCCTCTCCCCCGGCCTCTTGCAAGTAGACACTGGCGCCGAATTCATCTCTGTGCCGCATGAGGGCAATCTACAATCTTCCGAGATGTTGGGCAGTGGCGGGAAGGGAAGTAATCCAGAATCTGAGCAAGTTTTCGTAAGAGTAGGTCGGTGCATTGGCAAAGTCTTGAACAAGGACATTGGTTGGTCAACTGTTGATCCGTCCTTCGGTCCTTCAGAGCTTGAAAGCGCCGAAGATGCAGGAAGAGGCTGAAGCAGTTCATGGAATCGTGGAACAATTGCTGCAGTCCCAAGTCATCCTGGATGACAATGCTCCACGAGCCTTGCAGGGCTCTGACATCATCATTGTTTGCCCATACAATGCGCAGGTGGTGATGATCAGGTGCATGTTACAGTATTGGGTGTTGACGTGTTAGTCAAGCAAAAAGAACATGCTTGAGATGCAGGAGAGTGGAGATATCGTGCTTTTAATTTGTTTTAATGAGCCATTTGAATCCATCAACAGTTCACTTTGGTCCTGCAGATTTAACATGATTTAACCGTCCCATATCATCCCCCTTCAAATCTTCTGACGTCAACGGACCAGGTCCACGTTGGCTCGCAGCCGTGTTCCGCAGATGAACCAAATACGCGTGGGCTCCGTTGATTTGTTCCAAGGGCAGCAGGCTGCAGTCTCCATCATTTCCTTGGGAGCCAGCTCGGGTGCAGGTGGTCGGATGTGTTTTGTGCTAGATCCAAAGAGGACTAATGTAGCGTCACTTGGCAGATTTGGGTCTGATGGGTACAGAATCGTTTGGTGGGTTGCTATGGGCTCGGCAAGTCTTGGTGTTTTTTGCTACTGTTACAGGTTATAGCCTTTTTTTGTTTTTAGCAGCCTTGAAGGGTTCATCTATGACTACGATGTTTCAGCAAGGGCCATCATGATGGGGACTTCCGGTCTCATTGGTCAGTCAACAAGCTCTTTTGCCTCACCCTCGAACATCAGCCCAGGCTTTCCCGTGCTCGAGCTGTGGCAGTGATGCTGGGCAGTCCAGTCTTGGGAAACTGTCGCGTGGAGACCGTGGAGGAGGTAGAAATCCAGAACCGCTACGTGAGGTGGATGAACGAAGGCTTTGCGTGAGAATGTTCTGCGGAACTCATGCAAGATGCTGCAAAGTCCTGGAGATGATGGCCAGAATAGGAAAGGAATTCAATTGGTGTTCACAACATCTCTATCTCTATCTCTAAAAAGGCGACTTTGCAGACGTGTTTGCAGGCTTCAGCAGCCTTGCACGGTGTGCAAGTGGAGTCTTTAGCTTCAGTTTGGCAGTGGCGGATTAAGATTTGCGGAATGCAGGTTCACCTGTGCAAAATCAGCAATTAGAAAAGCCAGTGAATATGCAATTATGGTACTGCTATTTGTTGCCGGTGACTTAGCAATCTTTCACGGCTGCCACACGTTTTGGATCCTTCGATTTGCCAGAGAAGGTGGACAAAAGAGCCTGCTAGCGCGCACAGATCGTTTTGGCTTCTGCAATTTCTCTCACCCAGTCATGTGTCGAAAGCCAGATCTTGCGGAGAGCCAGTATTTATGGCTTTTTTTGGGGGGGGGATGGACAGATTCAACTTGATGCATATTCTGAATATTCTGATGGTTCAAGCCTTTTGACCTGTGGTAGGTTTCCACATATATATATATATAGTGCAAAGAACTGGAAGGCCACCATGACCATGAAAGGACAACCCTTGTGGGTTTTTGCCACCAGAAAACCCGGACCGAAATTGGCCAGCAACCCTGACCCAATCATGTGGGTGGCACGATTCTCAGGAATGCGGCGTATGTCAGATGATGTCCTATGATGTCATTTATGTTAGCTTCTTGTGATCCGCATTGCACTGAGGCCTTTCACGACGATCTGCGGATGGGAAAAGAGTGCCGATGGTCCGATGGTTGTTCAATCCAATGGGCAAAGATGTCTTTCTCCTTACCACTTCTCTGTCAGGCTTAAGCTTGTATGGAACTTCTTCTGCCTCAAACAGTTGATTTTGGTGTGTAAGTTCCCAGATATGTCGCGATCTAAAGGCCAATGCAAACGATCTTCAAGCATCAGTTGTGCATGTTTGCAAGCCATGAAGCCAAGACGAAAGTGCGTTTGTTGGGAATATTGTAGACAATGTATAGAGCCTGTCCAAAAACAACTGTAGCGACAGCAGTAAGCGCATGGCGCTACCTGGTGCTTCTGCAGATGCTGTCGGCTCATGGTGCGTTGGAGAGATTCTTGCTTGAGACAGTTTCAGATTTTGCTTCTTGGGACACGGATGTCATGAAGGGTCAGTCCAAATCCTAAATTCTGGACCTTCCCATGCCTGTGTGTAGGCATCTAATCATAGGGACTGATTCTTCCCGTGATTGGTCTGCTGGCCATGTTGCATGTGATTGATGAGACATTTTGATTGCATAGAGCAGCCAGAATGTCAGTCCCAGGACGTGCAGCATATTGCCGAGCACCCGGAGGACTAATTGACAAGTGCCTGCAGTGTTGGTTTTCAGACAAGAACAAAGAACTATCTAGTGAACTCCATTTCAGTCCCATTGTAGTCTCTGTCCCACCCACTAGGCAGTTGAACATCTAAATTTGTGGGACGAGTCCTGATGTTGGATGTCAGTAGTTGTGAAATCATTCACAACCAGATATGATGTTTGGACAGGTTGCATGCCCCTTGCATAACACTTGTATATTTTGCGCACACGTTGTATGTCTTTGTGCCTGACTGCTGTTGAAGCACCAGGACGATGGTGACCTTCCTCCACTGGTCTCTCACGAGCCAGTTTTAATGAGTGATTCATGGAGCCCAGAGAAGGGGATAGAGGAGAGGGACAGACTTGGCTAATGCGCAGGGCCAAAAATGCGTTCGTGTTGTTGCCCCCACACCTTATACCGCCAGTGCAGATCCACAGGAGGCAGACAAAGACTGCAAAAGGGAACTTGGAGGGTTGGAGAATGCCATCGAAGCAACGGGCTTCCACAGCCTTCATTCTGTACTCAAAGGGTGGAGTTCAAGCTGCAAAGCTTATGCTCATACCAGTTCAAAACTGCAATGAGGACGAAGCACAAATTGCCACTCCGAGGCTGGCAGGAAGGATTGATATGCCCAGTGTCCATCCAAAACTATACCGTAGCCTTCAGGGAAAGAAGATGGTCCACCAGTGGTCGGTCAGATCTTTTCTCACTTCTTGCTTAACAGATGTACTGTATTTGTGTGGATTCAAGCTCTCAGGATTGCTAGAGCCCTCTGATCCCAGGGTACCATCATCCTAAATCAGACAAAGCGCAGGGAAGAGGAGAGGCCATCGGAAGCCTCTGGGGAGGAGGAAGAGGAGGAGTGTCATGATGTTGATCTGGTTGTCGTATGTTGTAGTTCCGAGGCGCACACACACACATATGCATTGAACACAACATCAACCGAACATTCTTGCAAGCCTGCTGAAGTATCTTGAAGTTTTTCTTTAGCCTGCAACGTGAGCACCAAATTGGGTCAAAACCAAGGTAAGTGTGAACCACTGGATCTGGAATTTGCTTGGAAGCAGGAAGATGAAGATCCTGAGGAGATTCTTGAAGTTGAGGAGGAAGAAGAGGAGGAACAGGAGAAGCGGCACAGTCTCGTGTCTCGTTAATATTAGATGCTTTTAGTATTTGGGGTGAAGGGAGGCAACGCAGATCTGATTGCAGGACAGCTTCTAGTTGAGTCGATAGAGTCGGTCGAGCTACTCTGATCTATATCATCTTGGAAATGCACGGACTTCAATTTCAATGATCTTGAATGCTTTCCAATCAGATGATTCTCACCTTCGAGCCTTTTTGACGTGGGTCTTTGTCAGGAGCACTTTGATCAGGATTTGCCAGAAGATCCCTTGCTGCCAGAGCCAGAGGTGGGAGGACGCATGTATCACATGTAAATCCTCAACAAGTGCTTGCCCGGGAATGCTCGCTTGCTTTGCACACTGGAATGCTTGCCCGGGCGTGAAGGCTTTAGCATGCTGATTTCATCCAATCTCCACTCGGATCAGAGATTCCGGCCAGCTGCCCAGTCTCTCGACATCCCTGCCGCATTTGTGCCAGGGCATGCCTGATGGCCCATGGCTTGCGGGCGAGGTTGAGCGCCTCGGCAGAGAAGAGGACCGGAAGTGTTGGTTTCAACTAGGTACTGTAGCTGTTGGTGGGGTGAATTTGATGCCTCAAAACCATTGGGTTCTGTTGATGTTTCTTTTGCAATGAGCGTAATTGGTCTGCCAGGCAAACGGACTTGAGGTTCACCATGAAGTTTGAGGAGGTTTTTTTGGTAATTATTCTAAGATATTGACTCTGACCTCCTTGCCCATCAGCGCTCTTTGCCATCAGCATTCATTGAGCACTTGTTTGTGAACTTGGGCAGACTTCAACCCCACCCACATAATTTGCTCAACCTTTGCAACTTTCAGCTCGTTGAACTTGCTCTGCACTCAAAGCTCGTGGTGCTGATGGTGGAAACAAATGGTTCTCCTCGCCGACATAAAACATGAGGAAAAAATGGTCTCTTCCTGGTGGGCTGTCCACGATAGACCGGCACACCCGAGGTTCTTCAGCGACTTTGACTCCGGAAATTTGGCGGGTGCACAAGTCGCCCGGCCCAATCTGTCGCCAGAGCCTCTGTCCAAGAAGGTGCGAGATGCTGCGAAGCCAATTGGAACAGTTGTGCTTTTGGCTTTGATGGTGTTTTTGCATATTTCGTAGCATGACAAGACTACGACACACTACTGTATCAAGAGATGAGGCAGATACCGTAGGTGGCCGATCCATGCTGTTGCTGTTAGCGCTTGCTAAATGTGTTGGAGGACTTGCGCTCGGCCGATGTGCAGTGGGCAGCAGAACCTGACGATCGTAGCTTGTTTGCTTTCAGCGAGCGGGGCTGCAGTGCTCAGTGCCCCTATCATGATGTCATCGACGGACCTGAGTAGACACTCTTTGATGGTTGCCTTTTTCTTTCTTGGCTGGCTCAGACTAAGCAATCAGTTGCACACTAGGTAGGGGACTAGAGGCATGAGATGGCATAAAGTCTGTTTATCACTTGGAAGCTTGGCCGACCCTGCTTGATCATTCTCAGATATTTCCAACATGCAGGAGGTACAACAGTGGAGGTCTTCAGCCCATTTATCCGAGCTGAACCCAGGGCGATTGTAGGGGTTGTTCACTTTTGCTGCAAACAAGCATCAACACTGGGCTGGAAGTGAGGTAAAATCCTTTACGAGATGCTGCACAACTGCAGCGTTCGCAAAGAGCCACATCCGAAAGCCAAGCTCATTACCAAGAAGTCGGCTGGAGCGCGCCTGTGTCCTGGCTTGTTTCGTGGTGGGAGAGGGCGTAATGGAGTCCAGCCTTGCGCAAGATGAACCAAGCATCGTTCGGTTCCGTTCCATAGATGAGCTCTTGCTGGATGGTGATAAGTTGATATAAGTCGTAGAACACCTGCTTGATAGATAAGCTCATGCTCCCTTCGACGCACGAGTGCTGGATACATACCTCAACGGGACGATAGTTTGGTAACGCTTTGTCTCCAGAGTAAGTTATGATACTGTAACTTACTTCGGTCCGCAATCATTATATATCATATATCAGCCTCTGTAGGATTCTCAAGCCTTCACAGGCTTGTTACCAACTTCTTGTCCAGCCTGTGTATCATCATGTCAAGCATGTGAACCAAACCTCACTGAAACTCCATGAAGTTACCTAGTACGATACGAAGCATTTGTCGCTCTTGTCTGACAGGATCCTCCCTAGACTTCAAGCCATCGGGGCTCTGCTTTTTTTCCTCTTTTGTTGAATGAATTTGTTTGTTTCCACCAATGAACCAAAACAAATGCAGCAGCACCCTACCTGGCCCATGCTGCTGGAAGGTACGCCAGCTGCCGCGTGACGCTTGGAGGATGGCAGAAGCTGGTGGACGAGGATGGCTGGGCTCAACTGGGGCCCGGAGCGGCGCAGTGCGACGAAAGTGCGACGGCCCCGGAATTGAAGCGTTGCTTGGAGTCTGCCAATCCAGGTGAAGGAGGGCAACATGGGCTTGGTGTCCTCTTACCTTCAGTCACTGTTCCTTTTGTCGGGAGTGAAGGCTTTTGCTGCGCTCGAAGGGATTGGACGATTACACAACCAGAGCAACCAAATCCTCGAAAGAAAGAAGGGAAGGAGGGAAGGAGCGAGGTGCTGGAGGTCTGAACTTGGTGCTTCGAGCGAGTGAACCCTCAGATTTACATACAGCCGATACATACCCAGTCTACACCGATACTCGGCTCACCAAGTTTCTTGGATGTCTTGCAACCTTCCAGGTTTGACGTTCACTCTAGCCAATTCAATCCAAAGATTTCTGTGAACAAACTGATGGATATATAGGCTAGGTCACTCTTACCTTGTTACTGTGTGCTACCCACCCTGGCTTTTGGGTGTTGCTCTCCTTCAGCACTGGATAAGCCTTGAGGTTTCACTCCAATGGAGGATCGCCCGACCTCTGGCGAGAGTAATGATGTCAACATGTCACTTGGGCGCACTTTGACAGCAACTCTGAAACTCTACTCTGATGTTCTTCATCATCTTCATCCTAATAGAACAATGTGCATTCCAAAGTTGAAGCGTTGCTATCATCGTCGTGATTCAAGCGGTGCTTAAGCCTGTTGACCTCCCTGCACCAAGGGGTGGCTACCCCACGCCGGCACCAGCAACGCCAGCACCAGCAGCGCCTGCCCCAGCAACGCCTGCGCCAGCACTGCCAGCACTGCCAGCAGACAGTGGTGTGCTGTGCTTCGAAGTGACGGCTGGATGCCCAGAGTGTCCCATTTGGACTAAAGCTGCAGCTTCTGCATTGTGACCGTCAATTGTAGTTTTCAAGTTTGCAGCACTGTATAGCATGCCGTTTTCTGGGCTTTGCAGTGTGGGCAACTACAGTAGTTGTTCTTGTGATTGTTTCCAGAGCAGTCATGCCTAGTGAAGCTCACTTCTTTGGACCAAGGGAAAACTGAGACGAGAGAGTGAGAGTGAGAGTGAGAGTGAGAACACTAGGCCCGGGCAGATTGTGCTGGGACTCCCTTTGCGAGCGAGGACGCCTTGGGCATTGTTAGGATTCCGCAGTGCAAAGGTGTGAACTTTGCATGGCGTGCTGGCAACCGAAAGGAAGCCTGAAAGGTGTGAAAAGAAATCAATCCAGCCTACTTTGCCATTTTATCGGAGGGGGTGTGCAACTTGTTGTTCTACAATGAACACGATTAATTTGTGCGACCATGGAATGTTTTTGATTGTTTTGGACCTGGCTCGGGCGTGGCAGTCGCGTTCTCAGCTTTGATAACCTTTGATGGGATGGCTGTGAAGCAACATTTTCCTCAGATAAACTGGAGGTGCTTCCTTTTCTTTCGTTACTGCATTAGATAATGACATCGCTTCGTTGATGCCAGACTACGCCCTTGGGGGCAATACAGGAGTGTCAGTGGTTCCACTTCGGCATCCGTGGCGAAGTGGAAAAGACAAGGCCGCCGTGTTTCGACGTGCCTTCAGACCCTTCAGACTCTAGACCACGATGTGTTGAGTTTCTCGTCCTTCCTCCAGTCCCATCATGAATTGCCCCGAAAAAGTGCACCCAAGATCCCAAGAGACTGGACCTTTGAAGAGATCGGCCGGCAAGAGTTTACTGTACATGTTTCGCAACCGCAAGACATTCCGTTGCTCCAACAGACTTTCTGACATGTACCTTCTTGGATCCATTGAGAGACTCACTCTGACTCCGTTGAGTTCTCTAGACAATGTATTTCAGAAAGGTCAATGCAACTGTCTAATCTATGCATCTTGCAAAAACAGTTCGGTGCTGTGCTGTCAATCCAAACCGATGTTCCATCCATGCTTGGTGAGGGAACCCTGCGATTGAATGCCATTGAGCAGCAAAATAAGGCCATGAATTTTCAACTCCACAATTTTCTTGGACACCTTCCCATATTGCCTCCATGCGGCTATAATTTGCTATATGCACAGCAGACTCAGTAGCCTCTACTTATATATACAACTGTTTTCCAAGCTCCAAGCTGATGACTGTTGGAAGAGACGGGGCAAAGCCAGCTGTGACGGTTGGCCCCGTCGACACGTTCACACACGTCTAGTCTCGAGCACCACCAACGAGGCTGCGCTTCCACGTCCTGGGCTTGTCGCGCTTCCGGCGCTTGGAGACGACGCGCATGGTGAGCGGGTCGGGCCGCCGGAGGGTCGATGGGTCGGTGGTGTTCGACCGATTTGGAAGCTGAGATGCCTCCAGCTGATGCTCTGGCATAGCTGGCATATGCTGATATATATATATATTATAATTATATATACTGTACAATTAATTATACACAGCCTTTATAGCTTCAGTATGTTTCAGTCGCACAGTTATCCAAAGCAGCTTCATGCTCCGAGGCAGTTGCTGACGGACGGCTTGCAACCTGTGTTCAGATACACTAGCAGCAATGAGGGCTGGCAACTGGTGAAGGGAGAGATCGGGATGCTTCGAATGCCTGAGACCTGTCAGCGTTCATGGGGGCTGGTAAGGTTCGTTTGAGTACTTGTACATGCTGGTGGGCGGCTAAATACATCCAATTCATTATGTGCAGAAACAGTACTTTATACTTGATCTACATGTCCGTCGCTTGTGCCAATGTCAACAGTTGTTTGCGAGCTTGTTTTGAATTGAACTCCTGAGCTTGGTCAGGATGGAATGATTGCCTTCACTTTCGATGCTCGGCCTGGGGCAGTTGGTCAAGGTGTTAGCTTCACACTTTCTGTTTCTGTTGAAGAAGTCAAAACTCCGAGTTCTGAAGTGCTTTGGAGAGATGATCCACTCGAGTCTCCGAGCAGTGTTTTGATTGGTAATGAATAAGAACAGGCTTCCAATTCTACTTGTTTACTAAAGTTGTTGTCGCCGCCTGACTGAGGAGCACGCCATGACAAGGAAGCTGGAGAAGGATCAGGACAGTATCCATTCTTTCACTAGGTTTGTGGCAAGCAAGTAACAATCCAGACAAGTCCATGCTGAGGTGCCCTTTGTACGGACAGACAGTCGCCACTTTTGTTGTGTTGGTCTCATCCTTTCTAGAACCAACAGTTTCAGTGCTTCTTATGAGACTCTCAAGGAACTCTACTTCGCGCTCACCTTCCCTTATTCGCTCGGCGCGGGCCTTGAGAACTTCAGCTTTTGCAGCGACCTCGCACCGTGACTTCGCCCAGGTCGGATTTACAGTCACCTGCAAACGGTGCTCCCACGCTTTGTGCAGAGTGGCGCCTATGTGAATCGCATGCACTTTGAGGGGTGAGAATGAAGTGCAGCAAAAAGCACGGTGCAGTTTGGGGATAGACCTTCATTGTGTAAGATCAATTTTAGTTTAGCTACTGCGTGATGTGGTTTTGGTTGCAGTTCCAAAACAGGCAGTTCCTTACAGCATCTGTTTTACTACTTTTTGAGCTCACCAAGTAGTTGGGCTCTCTTCGGTCCATGTCACCAGCGGCTAAGGTGAATCGTGAAGAGCTCACTAAGTCGCTGGGAGGCCGGTCGTGGAATTTTCCCAACTCAGCGGAGACCGAGGAATCAGCCACCCGCACGACCGAGAGTTGGCACCAGTCCAATGAAGATGGTCGTTTTCACTCGCAACAGTGAGGTAAACAGAACTCAGCACCTGTTCCGGGGCCCGACAGCCGCAGGCTATCCTATCGAGCTTCTGACCATCACCGAGCGGTCAAATCGCTCGGCGCAGCGCCTGCCGCTACTGCCGGAGCTCAGCTTGGATGAGCAGGCAGTGGTTGGGCCACATCCTGTTCTGATCACAGGTTTCCGTATCTCTTGCTCGCGGTCATCATGTGGCATGGTTGATTGCAAAGCTTGTTTATTTGATTAGCAAGAATGCTGAACATGCTAATAGCCTGATTTAGCACTACTTGCATTATTTTCCAGTGAGTTCGGGGTTTGCACACAACATTCATCATCAGTATGAGAGAAGCTATTGCGTTCCATCGCTCATCAGTATGTAGGAGGAAAGCAAATATATCGGGTCATCTGTCGCATTATCATTTTTCGGGAGATGCAGCTCCAAATGCAAGAGTGTTTTTGTTTTATTCAACAGAGGATTCTCACTGACGCTCGCCAGGATCGTCCTTGGATATTCCCTGGGCGGCGACCGATTTTCATCAGCGCCAGGGTTCATCCTGGGGAGACTCCAGCCAGTTATATGCTGGAAGGCACCACTCCTGAAATCGTGTCTTCGAGAGCTTCCTACTTCCAAGCGAAGCTTATAAGCATGCTACTGATGAAGTATTGTAAACTCTCATAGAATTGATGCATCGCGCAAAGTGTACGGAGACAAACATTTGGCCTTTAGCTTCTAGGATGCAGGGCCCGAGGGATTAAAGAAGCAGCTTTGATGCTTTCCGGTTGCTTCCAATGGACGATCACCTATGACTTTGCAGTAGCCTGAGCTATGTTGTTGCCAGAGCTTTGAAAGCTTGCTAACTTAGTGGGCTTGTGTCCAGCAAACCCACATTTTGTGCGGATACCTTTTGCAACACGATTAGACGCCATTCTTTTTCAGCTTGAAGAAAGATCCTTGGACGCCAAGTTGTTTGCCTTTTCAAGCGATCATTTTCTGCATCAGGTCTTTTAGACTTCCTCTCGTCCTCCTGTGCAGCGGCCAAAGAATTGCTGCGGCGCTATGTCTTTTTCGTGATCCCGGTGCTGAACCCCGACGGTGCGGCGGGTGGTCAGGGCCGGTGGGAGTGCGAGTGCAAGGCTTGTCGAACAGTTTCATGTGAGTTCACCTTAATCACTGCTGGGCAGTACCCCTGCACTTTTATCAACCATTCAAAACATACAATCTTGACAGGCATGCACGTTAGTAGATCAAGATAGATCAAGTGATATGTATACACCACTGAACAAACCACATCAACCGAAACATGCGTTTCGTTGATTTTGGCATGGATCGATGCCTCAACCAGACATGTTTCCTGGGCTTCAGCTTCTTGCCTTTGCGGACAAAGCCAACACATGCTCACTTTAAAAGTTTCATCGGTGAAGTTACTAATTAGTGAAGTTCACAACAGTGCAGTTGGTTTGCTTGAGTGAGCAACTTGTGACGAACATGAACAAAAACCCACCGATGGAACCCCGCAGATGAGTTAGGTTCTACTTCTCAAGGTTGCAGTGTCATTTCCTCCATCAATGCTTGGGCGGCCCAAAACAGGATGTTTCATTTGTCTCCCATTTGTAAATCCTTCAGTTGTGTAAAGCAAGTCAAAGCCTGCTTACGTGACATCTTTTGTACCCTCAGCTGTTTTTACAGACTAGAGTGCTTTACACCCCTCCGCTCCGCACAGGGGTTGCCCAGGGACACCATCGTTTGGACCTTCGCGGGGAGAACCTGAATCGGGTCTATGGCAAAGCGACCCTGGAGCACCATCCTTCAATTTTCGCGGCTGAACAAGCCTGCCTGAATGTGCACCAGAATCAGGCCAGGCATTTTGGATTCGGGATGCTGCGTTGGTGCAAACACCAACACTGGTCCGCTTAATTAATGTTCCCAAGCCGGAAAGTTGCTCTTGAGATTGTAACCCATCGTCACGCCCATGTCTGTGATTGGAATTATATATACATAGTGGAGGGGATGGAAGCAAAGCACAGTTCTGGTAGATTGATGAAATCGATTGGATTTCTCTTCTGGTGACGGCATGGCAGGAATTTCCATCCCTTACAGCCAAACAGGAGTTACGGGTCTTTCCTGCTAATGTGCAATGAAGTACACACAGGCATGCTTGCCTTGCATGGTTGATTGAGGCAGGCACTAAAGCTTGCTCTTGGTGTAATTAGAGAACAACTGGGCCCAACTCTTCCAGATGCCTTCATTCCAGGGTGGCCTACGTTTGTATCTTGATCTGCATGCGCACAGCAATCGCCGTGGTGGCTTCTTGCTGGGCGACACCACTGCCGCAGAAGCGCGACTCTATGGTTGGGCTTTGGGGAGGTGCGAGCCGTGAAAAGAGATGTGGAGATGTGGTTTTGTACCAAAACAGGGTCCTGGAAAGTGGGACTTATCAGGGCGGTGTTCCATTTGCCAACTGAGAGTTGTTTGTAATGGCATATTTGATTTTGTGAGTGCAGCCCATTGATGACATGCATCCCCTCTCAGAACTATTTTGGACAGTACCCCGATATATTCCACACAATGCCGCTTTCACTGGAGGCATTGTGGCATTTTTGAGTATGCCCAGAGCGATTTTTCCGAATCCAAGCGCGGCACTGGGAAATCGGCGATGGTCAAGCTGAGCTTTGTCGGATGGGCTGAAGAACTGGAAGACAAACGCCGGGCCTTTTGAAACGAGACACCATTGGGGAGGCCTAGTCCTAGGCCAGATTCTTTCGGATCCTTGCATGGCTAGTGGCAAGTCAAACTGCGCCTGATTAATTTTCACAAAAAGAGGGTCAAGGAAGGACCATGCCATCCTTCCATCAAACCCGGGCACGGCCTCCTTTCTTTCTGATACTACACTATTGGAGACGCATCTGTTTGAGCCTACTGGTCAGAATGACAACTCTCACTCCTTAAAAAGGATCTGGAACTGCCCATAAGACTCAAAACATGAGGACAAGTGTACCAGACAGGCTTGAGAGCAGCTTGAGTGGTTGGGGGTGCCATGAAGGGGCCACGCGGGGGAAACTTTGAGGGTAGTGCATGTATCATTTGGACACCAAGGACTGGAAACCCACTCTGCTTCACGGTGGAGTGTCACTACATCAGAGGCCCATGTTTTACACACATAGCCAGCTTCCTGTAAATACAGGTGTGGGTCTGGACTGTCAAACCATGTCAAATCAATTTCAGCTGGCTGTTTTGGGTCAGCGGGGAGAGCTCATTGAGTTCACTTCTAGAGTTAGTTGGCACATGTCGAGCGAGTGACAGCCCATGGCAACACACTTCTGTTCGTCGCAAATACCATCGCCATCCTGTGAGTTGTTTGTACCTTTGTGATCCACAACAGCTACCTAAGCATAGTGGCATTCTGCATAATTCCATGCTTCCACTCAGTGATGCAACCTGCAATTCCAAAGAACTGGAGAGGGGAAACCATTGAAAAAAAGACATCAGTCCGAAGGCCCGACCGGTGGTCCATGGCGGTCCCCTTGGGGTCGATGTCGGAATGTTTGGCCTCGGAGTCGTGGCAGGTCATCATAGCCCTTTTCCCTTCGGGCCAAATGCCTGGCGTCGCATGGGTGCCAGCTGCTTCTCAGCTGCGTCGACTTTCCCACAAAAGCTGGATGATTTAGTGAGCCGTGGCGGCCATTGGATTCATGGATTCAAATGGATAGGGTGGGCAACCTCTCAAAAAAGACTTGCACAGACTCTTGGGGTCCTTTTTGTGGTTTTCGACCAAAAAGGCAACACTGGAAGTCTCTTTCAATCGGTAGAGAGCTTGTTTTTTGTGCAAAGCGCTCGGGCCCGCGGTGAGGTTTGTTGGCTCTTCTCGAGTTGGACTTCTTAGCCAAGCCCAGGCAGGGTGCAAAGCAGGTCACCACCAAGCGTGGAGACTGGGAAGAGAGTCATGGGCTGACAGTTTGCTGGATTCCGCCCACGTGGTTTCTTTGGAAGTTTCTGACACCTGAGATACTCTCTCTCCCGTTTACTACTTTAGTGGATGCCATGGTCCCTGCAAGGAAGACATTTATGGTTGTTGGAGGGACCGTGTAGTTTTCCATGCATTTCACGCACACATGTACTGGACTGTTGCTCGTTGGTCTTATTGATGTGTTCTTTTTCCATTAGTCTTTGGTTGGGACTGATGGAGTGTACGAAAGTTCCAATTCACTAAACATCCAATGATAACTCTTTGAGGTCAGAGATGTTCACATCTTTGTGAAATCGAAAGATGCCAGTTGGAAGCAACAAACAAATCGGGTAGAGTGAGTGACTGCGAACCAATTTGGAGGCTGAAAAAGCGTGAATTTCTGGTTTGTTTCTCTCCAGATCCATTGCAAGTGAGGCTTCAGCCCAGCTTGAAAAACATATACAGAATCTCTTGATGAGTTTCCAAGATTTTCGACCTTTCAAGCATTCCGCACGACATTTCACAATCCACGCCTGAGGCGTAGCCTTTGCCCGTCCTTGCCAGCCTTCCACGCCCGGTACCGGGAAGGGCTCTGGGCGCTGCGGCAACTGGAGGGGCGGCAAAGCGCCCGAGCCGAAGGCAAGTGCATTGTAGACTCTCGTGTGACGTTCGTGCATTGTAGATTTGCTTGAGGCGGTCAAATTGGTCAATCATGGCTCCATCTGGCCTCCTTTTAGGCAGCAATCCTAGCACATCCAAACACCCGGTGTTTAAGAAAGCCAAATCCTCTTAGAGTTGGGTCTCGAGTTGACTCCGAGTTGACCGTTTTCTTCGGCGGAAGTCCGGAACAACCGAAGAACACAAGACAATAGCAAACATTGTTACTACTTAGTAAGGCACTTGTTACTACTAGCGAGGCACTTGTTACGAATAGCTTCTTGTTACTACTAGTAAGGCACCTGTTACTACATGAGATGAATCGGAATGAATTCAGTTACGGCTCATCAGCAAGAATTCAGCCACGAGGTGAATCGCCTCTTGATGTGACATGGAGAACAAGATATCATCACAACAGGGATTGACATGATCGGTGGGTTGATTCTTTCTAGAGTGTTTCGCAGGACAGATGGTTCTACATGGCCTTGCTTGTGCATGCTCATGTCACGTCAATACATGTCAATACAATAAAATTCCCATTCAAACAATTGGTGGGATGAATCACTCGTTCCATGTTCAGGCATTTGCCATAGGCTCGATTGTAGTTTGGAGTCTGGAATTTGGAATCAAATATATTCACTTCTGGCCAAAGAGCAAAAAGCAGTCAGCAAATGCTAATGAATGCTATTTTATAACCTCCTTATACGTCCTTGTCAATAGATACAGTTGTCGACATGATAGGAGATGCCTCCCTGCCCCACACAGCGGACGCCGCGGCGTATGGCGCCATGGAGTATTGGCTCGGGCTCCTGTGTGCAGCCTCCGCTGCCGTGGCGTATGGCGTGCAGTACGCGCCGGTCCTTTGCGGAAATGACAGAAGTAGAGGGCCGTGAGTGGGAACATGACATAAGACAGAAGAAAAGAACACCTAGAAGATCTAGAAGTAGCCTAGAACATTAGGCCACCACTCTCAATCCTTTTTTTTTCTTGGTAGTCGACTGTGAAGGGCTTGAATCATGACTCCTTCAGCCAGATGGACCAGTTTCTCTTCGAAGCAAAGTATGGCATGCGGCATTGTATAGCATGTCAAGAGAGCTTGGGAATGGACAATCAGATTCAATCTAAGGTCAAGAAGTACGAGATCTACGATGGCATTACCTTCCAATGGTTCATGTGTGCTGGGATTTTGATGGTGGGATTTTTATCTTCCATCGTTTTTGGCGACTTTGGAATGAAGGACACACCGGACCTTTTGCTATCAGGTGAAACACTGCATACCAATTTATGGGTAACCTCTGGCCCCAAATATTGCAACCTGGGAGCGACCCCGCACTGATAGTATCGGGGGTCCATGAATGTCCAGGACTGTTACATTGGCAAAGCTTGGCATTCATTCCGTCCTGGCTTGTCCGTTTTGTCTTCTGGCTCGAGGCTCGCGGCCATGACATGACTCAACCAAAGCAAACACATGGCACATATACAGACAATATCTGACAACACTTGACAATAATTATTGTTGCTGAATGGAACACTCCAGTCACTTCAGTCTGAGTTCCAGCAGTCTCTTTCTCATCAACAGCTTCCCCATGACGTGGCTCAGCTGCTTTTCGTTGGCACTGCCTCTGGTGGTTTCTATAGTTCTTACTTTCAAGAAGAGTGCTCCACAGAACAACACTCGTGCTCCAGAAGATGGGAAGTTCCATCCACCAAAGAGCGACAAAAGAGCCGTGACGGCCTTCGACGATGGTGCCCAGTATGCAGAGGATCAAGATTGCATCTTCTGTTTCCCGTCTGCAAGAGAGCTGCAAGAGAAGTCCGAGGGTGCATGGCTCGAGAACATCAGCAGGAGATGGTGCCCTGGAACACCAGGGTCAGAGAAGGACTGAGCGAGAGAGAAATCAAACCTAGGAGCCCAGAATATCGTAAGTGAACATCTTCTCTACACGTACTGCTTGTTACTGTAGCTACAATCTGGAAAGCTACTGTTAGCCAGCTGGATCTTGTTTTTAGACTATTGAAAGGTTGGTGCAGGCTGAGGGCGACAAGACGCAACCCCTTGATTTACAACAGAGTGTTCAGTCAGGAGATCTCCTTTGTTTATCATCTCTGTTCACTTTTGCACTCTTTCATCTTTGTCTTCAGCGCGGGCTCATCCACTCCACTATCGCCCCGCCGCCCCCTAGTTTGATCTCACCTGTACATCACATCTGTCGGGTTCTGGGGGGGTTCTGCCTGTCTCATCAACTCACACTTGTCAAAACTTACACCTGACTGCTCACCTCCAATCCTGATCATCGGAGCATCACCTTGTCATCATTTTCCATCACATTTGGCTGCTAGCTTGCGTTTATCCCCTCGGCCTCAATGGTCTGAAGTTTAGGTCTCCCTCTGTCTGTCTGTCTGTCCTGTCTGTCCTGTCTGTCCTGTCTGTCTGTCTGTCTGTCCTGTCTGTCCTGTCTGTCCTGTCTGTCCGGTCTGTCCGGTCTGTCCGGTCTGTCCGGTCTGTCCGGTCTGGTCTGTCTGTTGGTCTGGTCTGTCTGTCTGGTCTGGTCTGTCTGGTCTGGTCTGGTTTGGTCTGGTTTGGTCTGGTTTGGTCTGGTTTGGTCTG